CTAAGGATGGGAAAAAGTAATCTTCTTTATCAAAACTACTGTGGCCATATTAAATACTAGAACATCTAAATATCTTTGTTGACCATGGAAAATATTATTTCAAGTAGTTTCTGGTTTTTAAAAAGTTTCTGTATATCATGGTAGATGTAAAAGGTTTACTGTAGAATGAAGCCTGCTTTCAGGCTTAAAACTATGTAAAATATTGATTGGTGACAAAGTGTTCCAAATGTTACTGTTTTGACCCATAGTTTGTTTTTTTTTAAAGTATTTACATAACTACTATAACATTTTTGTGAATTTAGTATGTTAGCATCTAGTCTTCACTTCGTAAATACTTTATTTACAGTTTGGCTCCTTTAGATATTTCCTTTTTTAATTTCAATTCCAAATTACACCTTTTTAAAAAATTGTATAAAGCACTTAACATAAGCAAAAATTAAAAGCATTTTGAAATTAGTTGAGGTCAGTCCAATTCTACTCTTTGGAATCAGTTAAATAAATTAATCTGACATTCTTGTTGGATGAAAATACGTGGTGGGAAATGCCTACCATTTGACTTTATGAGGATAAGCAACATTTACTCATGCTTGGATTTGAGGGAAGATCCCAATCCATCATTGCCCTGGCACAAGTCAATTGCTACATAAAAGGTCAAATGCAATGTCAAATCCAAAACCAGAAGAAAACAATTCAGTTCTAAAGAGAACAGTGATAGCTTAATAATGTGAAACTAAGTATATTAGCATTAAATTAGTACTGCTGAAACAATACATTCAGGATCTCTTCTAATGTACATGTAAATGGAATCATGGAAACTTTTTTATATTACCTGCTTTAAGACCTTACACATTTAATGAACCAAATTAAAAATGAATCTCCATTCCATATCCTACCTACCCTTCATCTCTAGGTAAGACAAAATCTAATCTTATTTTCAAGGTGAGTTTTAAATATCTATATTTCTTAAGCCACATACAAGGAAATCATTTCATTAATTTTGGATACTGTCTCCATTTTGTATATAAAATTCCGGCAGTGTTAATATTGGCATTCATCACCTGGTCAAACTCTTCACATAGTCTTCAAAGCCATCAAATTTGAGATTCTCACCACTTTTTGTGTCAACTAAACAGGGTGTGGATTAAAATTTTATTTATTTATTTGAAAGTCAGTTACACAGAAGAAGGAGAGGCAGAGAGAGAGGTCTTCCATCCGATGGTTCATTCCCCAGATGGCCGCAATGGCCGGAGGTGCGCCGATCCAGAGCCAGGGGCCAGGAGCTTTTTCCAGGTCTCCCACATGGGAGCAGGGGCCCAAGGACTTGTCCCATCTTGTACTGCTTTCCCAGGCCAAAGCAGAGAGCTGGATTGGAAGAGGAGCAGTCGGGACTAGAACCGGCACCCATATGGGATGTTGGCGCTTCAGGCCAGGGCATTAACCCGCTGTGCCACAGTGCTGGCTCCACTTTGAAATGTTTTAAAGCAAAGCTAAATATCCTAAAGATCTGAGTTCCTTTTGTAGTCTGTGGGCCTGCAGTTGTCCCTTTCCTCAGCAATTCCTAGGAACCTCAGGTATTCTCTGCGGAATTTCACAGATCGCTTGCTTCATGTTAACCTATACACTGTGAAACTTAATTTGCTCAGAACTGTGTTACTATAAGAAACAAAAACGACAATGAGCAAAAACTCAGTTCCTTGCTTTTAGATTATTTGCTAAGAAAATAACCTGTTGATGAATTAACAGAGAAATGAGCATGTGGGCTCTTTAGAGGTTTGAAAATAAATAAATAAACCAGTGTTGTGGCACGGCTGGTTAAGTGGCCAATGCCAGCTTCCCATACCAGAATGCCAGTTTGAGTCCAATAGCTCCACTTCCCATCTAGATTCCTGTTAATGCACCTGAGAAACAGCATATAAAGGCCTAAGTTCTTGGGCCCCTGACATCCATGTGAGAGATCAAGATGGAGTTACTGGTCCAGACCTAGCTGTTGCAGCTATTTGGGGATTGAACTAGCAGATAATAAGTGAGTAAATAAATAAATATTAAAAAAATAAGTGTATGCAGGCAGAGCATGATAAAAACGAACTTATTTATTCAGATGAAGTAAGTTATCTTCCAGTCTAATAATTACCTTATAGTCAATTCATTTGTATATAATAGTCAAAGTAACGAGTATCTGTTGAATGAATGAATGAATGGATTTACATTATCTCATTATATGAAGTTAAATTTTATTTTGGATACTATACAGAGTTAACAGATAATGTAAATTAGAGTTTTGTCCATTAATTTTTATGCTTTTGTTTGGGGATTTCTGTTTATGCTTCTACTTATTCAATATATATTTTTTAAGATTTATGTAGTTTATTTGAATGGCAGAGAGAGAGACATGCATGCATACACATGCATGTGCGCACATACACACACACACACACACACACACACACAGATCTCCCAGTTGCTGGTTCAACCCCAAATAGCCACAACAGCCAGATCTGGGTCTGGCTTATGCCAAGAGCCAAGAACTCCATCCTGGTCTCCCATATGGATGATAGAGGCCCAGACACTTGGGCTATATTTTCTGTTGCCTTCTTAGGCATATTAGCAGGGAGGTGAATTGGAAGCAGGGTAGCTAGTACTCAAACTGGCTTCACAAGCCAGGCCTGGGTTGGGAGTGGTAGGAGAAGATTGATATTTATGTTTCTATTCTTGTAAAAGGTAAAGATTTGAGAATACCAAATGACCTTTGGGGACTGTTCTAACTCTAAACTAATTTATTTATTTATTTTTTGACAGGCAGAGTGGACAGTAAGAGAGAGAGAGAGAGACAAAGGCCTTCCTTTTCCATTGGTTCACCTCCCAATGGCCACTGCGGCTGGTGCACCATGCTGATCCGAAGGCAGGAGCCAGGTGCATCTCCTGGTCTCCCATGTAGGTGCAGGGCCCAAGGACTTGGGCCATCCTCCACTGCACTCCTGGGCCACAGCAGAGAGCTGGACAGGAAGAGGAGCAACCGGGACAGAATACAGTGCCCCGACTGGGACTAGAACCCGGGGTGCTGGCGCCACAAGGTGGAGGATTAGTCTATTGAGCCGCAGTGCCAGCCTAAGCTAATTTATTTTCAATAAACACAGAAGACCAGGCAACCATTCATTCCTGATATAAAGTAGAGGATAACTAATAAAACTAATAGCAAATATTGCTTTTATTGGTAATTCATTAGAAATGTTCCCTTTAAAACACAGAACAAGAATGCTTAATATTGCTGATACTATTCAACATCATTTTTACAGAACTAAACCTGAACTGATTAAAGCAATGAAATAAAGTATAAATATTGAAAAGAAAACTATAACTGTAACTCTTTCAAAATAATTATCTTATTAAATACTTACCTTATTAAATACTTATTAAATATTAAATTAATAAAGGAGTTTAAATAAGGTTGTTGGGTACCACCAAATGTTTAAAGTTAATAGTTTTCTCATACATCAGAAAAAAATTGAAAATCTAATAAGAAATAAAGGTCCAAATATTAATTCAGATTTACCATAGAAACTTTAAGATGTTTAAGAGAAATGTAGATAACTGTGAAACTTTACTGAAAGATGTATTTGGAGACTTAGATATCCATGTTCACTTGTATCAGTATTATCTGACTTCCTTGCCTCCTAAATTAAGCCAAAACTCAGTATTGTCACAAAATAACAGTAAGATTTTTAAAAGTTGACACATTAATTTCAAAATTTAAATCATTAAATAAAATTGTTTGGAGACAGAAAACTTCTATCCTCTGGTTTACTCCCCAGAAACCCACAACAGAGGGAGCCAGGCACTCAGTCTAGGTCTCCCATGTGGTTGGCAGGAGCCTGATTGTGTCAGCCATTGCTCCTGCTGCCTCCCAGAGTCTGCATTATCAGGGAGCTGGAGTCGGGAGCCAGAGCTGGGATTTGAGCACAGGTGCTGATCTGGGACACTTGGGTGTCTTGCGCCCTAGGGCAAGTGCCTGCACCTAGAACATAATTTTTTATCTGGGGCACAAAGCTTCTCAAATTCCTCCCCATAATTTACGATAATACTAAATAGATCCACAGGTACCATCTAATAAATGATTTTAATGAGTACTTCTCATAAGAGGTGAAATTCATACAGTGTATTTTTTTTAAGATTTATTTATTTGAAAAGCTGAGTTAAAGAGAGATCTTCCATCTGCAGCATGTAAGGTATAATATCTCTTTTTGGCAAAATAAAGCTATATCTAGAATGTTTAAAGATTCTACTAAATGATAAACAATAGTTATGAATTAATTTTGTAATCATTTTATTAAAAATAATTGTTCTGTGTTTCAAAGAGTATATAAGTGACAGTAAAAAATTATTTACCAACAGGAAAGATCTTGAAATAAAGCAAAACAACAGCTTGCTCCATACATATACACACATTATGTTAATCTTAACTTTAAGTACAATTTAGAATAACCATTGGTGGTAACTATAGTTCTCTGGAATTAGCAATTTCAACTCTAATCTAGTATCGGCACTAATTAGTGGCAATCTTGAGCAATTTATCAGTGTTTTACTTTGTTCTTTTAGAAAAAGTAATCAATTTCTATTCAAAGAAATAAGCCTATAAAGAGTACATGTTAGGCATTTTGGCAAGTGTTGATATTCTTTCTAAAGATAGCATTGGCTCTATAATTTAATGTTTTCTAAGATTTAAACTAAAAAATAAACCAAGAATTCCCAGTCCTTCAAAATGCCAGCCTAAAAACTTTAATCCCTTAGTGATATTCTTTGCAGGATCATTTGAACATTAATTCATTTTATTTCTGTGAATAATCTAATTATAAACTAATTAAGATTCACCAGAAGATGGACTAGTTTCATACTTTTCATTTACTCTGTGAATTTATTTTCAATATAATTAATCAAAAGCATTTACCTTCCAAAAGGAGGTGTTACCTCACACAGCCTAAATTTATTTGCTTTCTTACCTTTAGGTTGCTATCGGCAGAACAGACATTGAAGACTTGGACCTGTATGCTACGTCTCGGGAGAGACGATTTCGTTTATTTGCTTCTATAGAGTGTGAAGGACAGTTATTCATGACTCCCTATGATTTTATTTTGGCTGTTACAACAGATGAACCCAAATGTAAGTATATTTTAAACACTAAGTTAATAATGTTATAAAATGTTATTCTTATTTCTGGTTTATATAAGTGTGGAGCAGTATAAATATTTAAAACAAAAAAGCAAGTAATGGGGTATTTTTTTTTTTTTTGACAGAGTGGATAGTGAGAGAGAGAGACAGAGAGAAAGGTCTTCCTTTTGCCATTGGTTCACCCTCCAATGGCCGCCACACCTGCGCGCTGCGGCCGGTGCACCACGCTGATCCGAAGGCAGGAGCCAGGTGCTTCTCCTGGTCTCCCATGGGGTGCAGGGCCCAAGCACTTGGGCCATCTTCCACTGCACTTCCGGGCCACAGCAGAGAGCTGGCCTAGAAGAGGGGCAACCGGGACAGAATCCGGTGCCCCGACCAGGACTAGAACCCCGTGTGCCGGTGCCGCTAGGTGGAGGATCAGCCTATTGAGCCACGGCGCCGGCCACATAATGGGGTATTTTAAAAGATGTGATGCTACACGTGTTTGCAGACTAACATTTCTTGTATTTCTTCTCTTTTCAGAAACCTTTATTTGCTCTTTCTTTCTCACCATATCAAATTTAAGTTAAAAATCATTTTAATATTCTTTATAAAAGTCTCATAATCTGACTATTCATTCTTTCATCTAATCTGAACAGTGTAAATCAGAGGACTGGCTTTGAAGTTAGCTCTGGGCAAAAATTCTGACACTATTTCTTCTGTATTTGTCATAGCACTAATACAAATATAGGTTATTATTTCTCAGTTTTCTTTGCAAGAGTTGTGGTTCTTAAAATTTTTGTATTCAGGCACATTCTTGCAAAATCTCTTGGTAACTTATTTAATAGAAGGCAGCTAGATTCTCATGCACTTTTTATTCAATCTGATTTTAAGTGTTATTTTCATGAAGAATATGAAGAAAAGCTACCTTTAGATAGTAGATAGATATAGATAGTAGGGAAGAGTATTTTATACTCTTTTTTTCATTTAATTGTAGATTTTTTTTCTTTGGTACTATATCATAAGTTAGTGAATGGCAGTTCAGCCTTCAAAAGTTTCCAAAGGTGGTAGTGAAAGAGTATTGCGTACTAAGAGTTTCCTGCTAATTTAATTGGATGGATAGCAGGACCAAATTTGAGAGAAAAATCACTATTTCAATTTTATACATGATATATTTGAAAAACCTTGGACGTGGAAGGAGGAGGCAGTTGGATCTGTTTCTTAATTGTTCAGTTAAGTTCACTGAAAGAATACTCAGTAAAAATCAGTGTACCAGGTAATCAGTTCTTTGCCTGATATCTGCTTTCAACTGTTACAGAAATACCTTAAGTTAGACTACAGCACTACAGCAGTTATAGCCATTTTTACTTCAGAGGCAGGGATAGGACAATACCCTAAAATAAAGTCCTCAGTAATTGAGCTAATTGACTGCCTTGATGATTAACTTTTTAATAAAAAAAAAAAGATGTCTTTTTTTTTTTTGAAAGTCAGAGTTAGAGAGTGGAGAGAGGAGAGGTATGTGTGTGTGTGAGAGATCGATCGATCGATCGATCGATCTTCCATTCACTGATTCACTCAGCAGATGGCCACAATGGCTACCACCAGGCCAGGTGAAGTTAGGAGCCTGCATCTTCATCAGGGTCTTCCATATGGATAGCATGGACCCTTAGGCCATCTTCTACTGCTTTTCCCAGACCATTAGTAGGTAGCTGGACTGGAAGAGGAGCAGCCAGGACTTGACCGGGCACCCACATGGGATGCTGGTGTCACAGGGGGTAACTTTACCTACAATGCCAGCCCAAAGATTAGCATTTAACGAATTGATTTTTTGAAAATTTTTATTTTCATTTTGTTTGAAAGGCAGGAACACACACACACACACACACACACACGACTTGTATCTTCTGGTTCACTCCCCAAATGCCCTTGACATCCAGGACTGGTCCAGGCCAAAGGCAGGAGCCTGGAAATCCAGATGCAGGTGGCAGTGACCAAAGTCCTTGAGTTATTATCTGCTGCCTCCTCTGTTGTGCATTAGCAGGAAGGGATAGGAAGCAAGGTAGCCAGGAGTGAAACCATGCGTTCTGATATGGGATCAAGACATGCCAAGTGGCCCTTGTGCTAATTGTCTACCCCTAATTAATTGATTTTTGGTGCTTTAGATAATTTTTGTTGGAGAACAGGTCAGAGGGCTGCATGGATATATATATATATATATATATATACACATATATACATATATATATATATTTGTTTGTATATATATATGTGTGTGTGTACATTTGAGATTAAACTGCACATGGCTGGTAATTAATGCAATGTGTATGGATGAAATTGCCTCAGGATGCAGTATAGGATGAGAATATAGATAACCAAGGACAAATCCTTCAGGAACTCCTGTACCATACATAGGTTTGTAAAGGATGAGCTTCAAAAGGAGACACAAGAAGAAAATCAGAATAGTGTATGGGCTGGTGCTGTGGCGCAGTGGGTTAACACCCTGGCCTGAAACGCCAGTAACCTATATGGGCGCCTGTTCAAGTCCCTCTGCTCCATTTCCAATCCAGCTCTGTGCTATGGCCTGGGAAAGCAGTGGAGGATGGCCCAAGTCCTTGGGCCCCTGCACCCGCATGGAAGACCCAGAAGAAGCTCCTGGCTCCTGGCTCCTGGCTTCGGATCAGTGCAGCTCTGGCTTTTGTGGCCAAGAGGGGAGTGAACCATCGGATGGAAGAACTCTCTCTCTTTCTCTCTCTCTCTCTGCCTCTCTCTGTGTAACTGACTTTCAAATAAATAAATTAATTAAAAAAAAAAAAAAAAAGAAGAGTGTAGAGTTCATAGAAGCCAAGGAAAATGGCCAGAATGGTCAATGGAAAAAATAGATTTTGACCTGAGACAAAATGATGGCACTGAAGGAGAGAGAACTGCATAAACAAAAACACAAAATAAAAAGAATATTGGTATATTCATAGTAGCCACATTGCGAGTATGTAATGTAATATGATAGAAAAGGCTAGAAATTAATTAGGGCTCTTTTTTTGAGGAACTTGAAGGCTATGATAAGGACATAATTAAGTTACTTAATGTGAAAAAATCCACATTATATTAAAAAATTAAGTAAAAATGTATGGGATATTTTTACATGTACTTATGTGTGAAGGCCTTTTGTGTGTGCTAGAGGAGATACAAATTCCCTGTACTTAGAAAACTTAACATAAGAGGACATAAAGTACAGAAACAATAAACTCCTAGGTAGAATGGCTATTTGGCACATATTGAGTACTCAATAAATTTTTCTTGAAGGGAGGTAGTTTTTAGATTGTCAAGTGGTATTTTATATCAAAGTATACAATTTTTTTCAAACTTAAGTTATTCTTTAAGTAATACTTTATAATTTCATATTTTGAAAAATTCTATTTTACTATTTTCTTGAAATGTTTGGTAATATACTCAATGGAAACTCACTGTTGGATCTTGCTATTTTGAAATAACTTTTTGGAGATTCTCCTGATAGATATTCCAAAACTGTGACTTGTAGGAAAAAATGTTTTCCATTATAAAAATGTGCACAGGAAATTAACCACAACTTGGTTAATTTCTCACTGGCATTTTAAAAACATAATTGAGATTATAAAACATCAAGATTTTTAAAAAAGATTTATTTATTTGGAAGGCAGAGTTACAGAGGCAGAGACAGCGGGGTGTGGTGGTGGGATTCTTCCATCTGCTGGTTTACTCCCCAAGTGGCCGCAAAGGCTGGAACTGAGCCAGTCTGAAGCCAGGGTCCTGGAGCTTCCTCCAGTTTTCCCACGTAGGTGTAGGACCAAGGACCCTGGCCATCCTCTACTGCGTTCCCAAGCCATAGCCAAGAACTAGATTGGAAGTGGAACAACAGGGACTTGAACCAGCGCCCATATAGGATGCAGGTGCATATAGGACTGCAGGTGGCAGGTTTACCCACTGCCACAGCAGTAGCCCCACATCAAGATATTTTCAAACATTATTTTGAAAACGTGGGGTTTTAAGAAGAAACATTTGCTTCACAGCTGAAAAACGCTATGTGGACTGAATATTAAATCAGATACATGCAAGAGTAGCATAATGGAATTTGATAGACTCGTGTTTGTTTACTCATTTACTCATTTGACAGATGAGGAGATATAGTCATTTCCCAACTACTTGTTCATTCCTAAATGCCCACAGACTGAAACAAGGAGCCTGGTATTCCATCCAGGTCTCCCTCATGGGTTGCAGGGACCCAAGCACTTGAACCGTCACCTACTGCCTCCCAGAGTATGCATTGCCAGGATGTTGGAATCTAAAGTGGAGCCAGAACTTGAACCCAAGTACTGTGATATGGATGGAGGTGTCCCAACAGGCATCTTAACCACTAGGCCAACACATGCCCATATTTGTGTTTAAACTTTGATATTCTTACTAGCTTTGAGAACTAAAATTATTTAATCTTCTGTTTCCTCATTCATGGAAGTAAAAATGACAGAATCATGAAGATTTTTTGAGCACTGAGTGAATCACTTGTGCCTAATTCACAGTAAGCAGTGTGTATCTGTTATCATCATCATCACCATGATTTTTAAAAAATTCATAATGATGATTCTTAAACTTTGGTATAAATTTATCTTGACATTTGTAGGAAAAAAATGACGTGTTTTACACATATTTGCTTAATAATTGCAGTTCAAATAAAGGTTAATTGAGAAACATAATGACTATTGATTATAGTTTTGTTTTTGAATTTGTTTTACTTAGAAGGTGAATTTCCCTTTTAGAATTGATCAATAACTGATTATTTTCATGTAACATAGAGAATTATTATAATTTATATTTCAAAAATATATTGTTAAATGTTTCAGACATACTAAAAGTATTTAAAAACAATGAAATGCAAAATACAATTTATAGCCTAAAAATAAAATATTTCTGATAAAATTAAGTCTCCCTTCCCCCAAGTTATGCTTATATATGCATTAACTTTGTATGAAATAAGGAATTTAGAAAGTAAGAAAGTCCTTTGAAGAATAATCTTGATGGCTCTTTAGTCTTTATTTAAAAAGCTAATAGTATTGAACATGGGGACATTTCCAGTAGAATGAATATGTCTTTTGTGAATAATTTACCATGGAAATCTCAAACCCTACAAAACTCAAGAGTATGTCTAACTTCCTCTTTTGATAAATAGCTCTAAGCATTTCATAAGAGCATGTGGTATACCTTTGTGTCATTTATTTTTCTTCTTTTCTTACTGCTATATTTTTAAGAGCAACAGAATAACAAATATGATTTATGTCACTTGCTTATTAAGAGTGTCTTTGCAAATGAATCTATATAGTCCTATAGATAAAGCTACAGTAAAATTAATTTTAATCACTTGATTTTACATTTGTATAAACTATCTTGGTAAAGGAAGGATGCTTTTGCTACATAGAGAAGAAAATATCTACATAAAAATCAATTTGCCCAATTTAGGAACATAGTTATTCCATTTTGATCTTAAAATGAGTTATTATATTGCCTAAAAGAGCAAAAGGTTACATAGCAAAAAATGTCTTTTTTATAATTGTGAATTTGGCATATTGTGAATTATATAGAAATAGCCTCATTGTCCTGTAGAAAAAATTATTGGTTGTGATCATTGTAATGTAGCTGAAATAGTATTTTCCATTATCCTAACACATCTGTGTTGTAAGATTTAATCATGTAGATTCTTAGGCAGACATTAGATGTTTACAGTGATCAAAGTAGAGCAAAGAAAACAGCAATATTGATTACACATTTGACCCTGCATTATAATATTTATAGTGTTTGAGATCCTCAGGTATGTAAAGAGGAAGCAGAAAAAGAAAGTGATCCCAAATATTTTATTTGACTGTAAAATTCAAATTTTATTTGATTGTTCCAGCTTCTTAACCAGCTGTAGGGATGAAGAATGAGCTACAGGATGGAAATTTCTCTCTCACTTGACCGCCTCTCCCTTTCATCTCTTTTTCTCTTTGCTCCTTTATTTCTCATTCACCCTGGAGAGATCTGACCTATGAATTATATTCAGGGATGCTAATATGACAAAGGTCATGGGGGATACCCTAGAATTTTAATTTCTGTTAATATTATTCATATTCTAGTATGAATATTGTATTAATGTCATTATTTGTGCTTTTAAGCCCATAGAATGATTAACATGGAGTAAGATAACTTACTTTATAAATGCCAAAAGCCTGGAAATAACGATAATATGGTTATGAAAAAGTGTTGGGGCTGGCGCTGTGGTGTAGAGGTAAAGCCACTGCCTGTGACACATCCATATGGATGCGGGTTTGAGTCCCAGCTGCTCCCTGCACTCCCTGTTTCTGATCCAGTTCCCTGCCAATGCACTTGGGAAATCAGCAGAAGCTAGCCCAAGCACTTGGGCCCCTGCAGCCATGTGGGAGACCCAGATGAAGCTCAGGGCTCCTGGCTTCAGATTGGCTCAGCCCTGCATGTTGCGCCATTTGGAGAGTGAATCAGTGGATGGATGATATCTCTCTCTCTCTTTCTCTCTCTCTTTTTCTCTGTCTTTCCTTCTCTAACTCTGCCTTTAAAATAAATAAAATAAATCTAAAAAAAAAGATGTCTGCTAATCTACTGATATTACTTATTATACATAGTTTATAATATATGAAACTGATAATATAAATAAGGTCATATTTTAGATTCAGATCTTGAGGTCAAAAGTAACTTTGCCTTTTGGACATAAAGCCTTGGTTATGAGTTATAGTTGTAGATGGTTACTGAATATGGATATATATTACATGAAGTATTTATCATCTAATTATGTTATGTTTATTTTAGTTGCTAAAACATGGAAGTCACTTTCCAAACAGGTAAGTTAATGCTCTTGGTGTATATATCTATGCATGCATATACTCTATACATATAAAATGTACATATATATATGTAATTTCTTTTGCAAATTAAAACATATCAAGATACCATTTTTCTACCTACCAGATTGTCAGAAAACCAAAAATGGACAGTTCCAAAGGTTGTAGAACATGTAGATCAGTGTTGCTAAATTAATATGTGAATATAAATTGGTATACCCACTTTGGAAACTATTTGCCATTATTTACTAAAAGTAAAGATACATATACCCAATAACTATCAATTCAGTGTTTATATTCTACACCAGTGCATACACACGTACCTAGTAAAGTTAAACATGAGTATATTCTATCATCCAGTAATTTTATAACAATGTGTATACCTAGAGAAATTCTTCTTTTATACAGACACAAGAATGCCCATGGATTGTTTATGATGGTCAAAAAAACCCAAAAGCCCAACAAAAAATAACACATTGATAGTAGAATTAATAAATAATATGTGTAATTATAGTAATTTGATATTTATTGTTTAGAAAATGTAACTTAATTGACACATTTTGATAGTTATAGAAATTTGATATATTCACTTATATATAAACACAGCATATATATAAAACAATGAATTACAGCAGTACTTTAACAAGGTGAGTCTCAGCGAAGCAATGATAAAATAAGCAAGTCACAAAAATGTAAAGTATAATTCCATTAATATAAAGTCCAAAACTGGAAAACTAAAACTATGTTATTTCAGGATAAAACCCATATGAAATTAAGGAATGATTAACATAAAATGTAAGATTATCACTGAGAGCTGATTTTCTGTTTTTTTTTTTAATTATTTCTACTTTTAAATTGTATTTTATATATATATATATTCCTTTTTTACTTTCATATATATGATAGACTTCACTTTAAAAAAGAATGGGATATTAGAAACTTCTTTAGTTAAAGATAATCCTCCAAAAGCCTACACCAAATGTTAGATTTATTGTGAAACTTTAGAGACATGGTCTTTAAATTCTGTATAATGCATGCATGCCTGCTATTACAACTGTTACACTGCACTTTACAGAAAAGTCTCAGCTCCTAGGCTGCCATGACAAAGTGCCACAGACCGGGCAGCTTAAACAACAGATACTGATTTTCCTGTACTTCCACAGGATAGAAATAGTAGAATGTAAAAATATATTGATTTGTGTTAGATGCAAGATCAATAAACCAAAATTACTAATGTGCTCTTATACCAGCAATAGCAATTAGAAGCCACTATCAAAATAAAAGTACATTTTACAATACTAACAAGAACTATTAGGCACTTAAAATCACGGCTAAACGTATATTATTAATTTATATTTAAAGACATAAATAAATGGGGTATCATGGTCCTTGATGGTAATAGGCTATACATATAATATAATTATATGTATTTCCTTCAGATTTATCTGTAAGCTTGTTATAACTCTAAAGAAAATTTAAGAGAATTTTAAAATTCATCTGGGTAAGCAAGGGCCCCAAAATATTTAGAGTAATTGGAAAAGGTAAGAGAAAAGAAAAAAAAAAAACATTGAAGTGAGAACAAATGAGTCTTGCCACCCATATGAAGACCCAGATTGAGGTCTCAGATCCCAACTTTGCCTTGGCCCAGCATCAACCACTGCATGCATTCAGGGAGTGAACCATTAGATAGGACCTCTTTCTTAAACTAAGAATATAATGATTTTTACATTCACCAGATTGTTAGCTTCCAGAAATTTAATAATGCCATTAATTGGCATGAACAAAAAGAAGGAGCCAGGTGAAGTACTACGTTGTCACATTCATTTTTTTCAGGAACATTTGTCAATATTTAATAAAGTTGCAGGTACATTGCAAGTATATGATTTAATTAATCATGAAATCATGATTCATCAGAAATCATGTTTCTTGATATGTATGCCAAAGAAATGTTTGTATGTTTGCATCAGAAATCCTATACATGTTTTCTGCAGCATTGATTATAATAGCAGAACTTTAGGAACAATATTAATGTCAATCATTACAGGAAAGGATAAAAGGATTGTGAAATAGACACACCAAGAGTAAATGTAGTAATACAAGGTTAGCATGAGTAAATATATTAGAACTATGTGTAGCGATGTGAATAGATTTAGAAAACATATGGTTAGATAAAGCATCAAGTTGTAGAATATAGTATAAACTGACAATTTTTCAAGGGTCTATGGAGTTAAAACTATCTTCATCATGAAATTGAGAAGATACTTATTTTATTTATTGTCATTCTCACAAGAATACAGTGGTGTTTTCCACAACCTGCCTGATAAATGTTGATGCCATTGCTGTGATAGCTCACGGGTACTTGTCTTGTGTCTTAAAAATTTCTTATTTTTGCTTTTAAGTGAATGAAATACTGGTATATACATCCCATCTAAGTAGTGTCTCTCTTGAGTCCATAATGATATTAAGATTGTTGAGTTGAATTTAAGAATTACTGTTAACAGACAACTGCTATATCACCTTTCAAATGAAAATGAAGAATATTTGATGGGAAAATAGTCAATGGGATATAGTATTAAGTATAAAGAATGAGTTAAGAAACATTTACTATTTGTAGCAAAAACAAAATATTTTGTAAATATGCCTAGCTAGAGAATTAAAAATGTTAAGTAAAATTGAAAGTTTAGCTCATTACTGGATTATGATTAGTTTTTCTTTTCTGTATTTAATTAATTTCCCACTAGGAGGTGTGTATATGTATTTAATTTGAGAGGCAGAGAAAGAAACATAAAGACAGATGAGACAGCTCCCATTTGCTGGTTCTTTCCCTCAAATGCCTGCAACACTGGCGGCAGAGGAGTCCCCAAAGCTAGCAGCAGCCAGGAATTCAACCCAGATTTCAAACATGGGTGGCCGGAACCCGATTAGTTGGACCATCACTACTACCTCTCAGGGCATGTCTTAGCAGGCAGCTGGAATCAAGAAATGGAGCCTAGCATTGAACTCAGGCATTCTCATATGGGCCAGAGTGACTTAACTAATTCTTAACTGCTAGAACAAATGCCTGCCCTTAACTATGTAACTTTTTAAGTGTATTAACTTAAAAAATTGTGTAAAGCCTTTAAAAGGCAGCTAGAATTGTAGGAAACTGAAGTTTATCCAGCAAATTTTTATTTGGTATCTGTTTGTGGTAGTGTAGTATACTGCTGACACTAGGGGACACACCCAGACTTGGGGTCAGACTACAATGCTTTTAAAGTGCTCAACAAGGCTGCCTTCATATCTTGTACTCACAAGTTGCAGGATTGGGAGGCTCCAGGCTGCCTGCCTTTCTGAATTTATTGACCACAAATCCAGGGGATTCCCACAACTCTCCTCAGTTTTAATTGCTGGAATGACTAGTGGAACTCACCAAAGTGATCATACTTATGATTTTTAAAACGTTTTATTTATTTCATTTTTATTTGAAAGGCAGAAAGATGGTGAGGGAACAGAGAGAGAGAGAGAGAGAGAGAGAGTGCGCTTCCATCTATTGGTTCACTCCCTCATGTGCCTACAACAGCCAGGACTGGTCCAGGCCAAAACCAAGGTCCCCCCACATGGGCAGCAGGGACTTAGCTACTTGAGCCATTACCTGCCGCATCCCAGGTCAGCACTAACCGGAGGCTGGATTGGAAGCTGAGGAGCTGGGACTGGAACTAGTTACTCCGATATAGGATGCAGGATATAGGATCCCAAGTGGTGTGTTAACCACTATGTCAAACTCCTGCCCCAGAGCTACACTTATTATTTTTTAAATGATGATTGTACTTTTACCATAAAGAATACGATTTGAGACTAACCAAATGAAGACAAAAAGGATGAGGTCTGGGAGGGTCCAGGGCTTCCATGCCTTATCCACACGGAGTTAGTAAGCATCCACCATCCTGAAATCTCCACTGAGCTTCTTGTATAGAATTTGTGTTTTTTTGACAGGTAGAGTGGACAGTGAGAGAGACAGAGAGAAAGGCCTTCTTTTACTATTGGTTCACCCTCCAGTGGCTGCTGCGGCCGACGCACCACGCTGATCTGAAGCCAGGAGCCAGGTGCATCTCCTGGTCTCCCATGCAGGTGCAGGACCCAAGGACTTGGGCCATCCTCCACTGCACTCCCAGGCCACAGCAGAGAGCTGGCCTGGAAGAGGGGCAACCGGGACAGAATCCGGCGCCCCGACCAGGACTAGAACCCGGTGTGCCGGTGCCGCAGGCGTAGGATTAGTCTTTTGAGCCACAGTGCCAGCCTGTATAGAATTTTCATTGGAGTTTCTTTACATACATGTGATTGATTGAATCATTGATCAGGTAATTGAACTCGATCTCTAGCTCCTCTTCATTTCCCAGATGTTGAACTGGCTCAGAACCTCGACCCTTTACTCACAGTGTTCTTTCTGGTGACCAGGCCTACCCTGACTCATGCTGGCATGAAAGAAAGATTTAGAGCCTCAATCCAGATCCAGACAAAGACCAATCAAATTTTTTATCTATTACTACTACAAGTAAGACCAAGGTAGACACTGGAATTGGGTAGAGAGATTCCCAATATGAATGGAAAATGAAGATTATAGTAAGTTTTAAAAGTCTTTAAAGTTAATACAAGAAAAAAACTAGATAATTATTTAATTATTAAAACTGCTTGAAATCATTAAGGATCTGGCTCTGAGTACTAACATGTGACAGTGAATGAGTTACTCTTCCACTGTCTCAGTAAAATATGTACAATAAAAAATGTGTTTTAGAATTAAGTAAGGTATCGTAGAGTCCATTGCTACACACAGTGAGAGAACTCAAAACGTAGCTATGAGTTTTCAATCTTAAGTTCTAACTGAATTTAAGTTGGAATAGATGAAGGTGGATGATACGGAAATAGTTAAAGTGGAGAAAGGTAAGTTAATATCTGTAAAATATAAAGTATATTCAAATGTTTTTAAAAATCTCTTATTCTAACAAAAGTATTTCAGTTTATGAGGTCTAAATAATAAATATCCCAGTTTCTCATGACTGTTCATACCTGAGTTCTTACTTTGGTGCCATTGCTGTTCTAACCAGACTTTACTGATTACCTGGTGGCATTAAGTACTTGAAATGCAGCTATGGCACCTTGAAGGAAATGAATGCAAGAATCTACAGAAGATTCAGGGAATCTATAAATCCTTAAGAATGCTGCTCCTACTTTTGGCATTCCAGGGATTCCATCACTTTTTTTCTAGCACAGCTTTGAAATTGAAAAAAAAAAAAAAAAAAAAAAAAAAAAGAAAGATGATCTATAAATGTCACAGAATAGTTTTAGATTGAGCTGTATCAGAAGGGGTTGGTTAGTCTTAACTGATTGTCAAATTTGAATGTACATTAAAAATCACCTAGAAATCTTGTTAAATTGCAGATTCTGGTTCAGTTGGTCTGGGATGGGAGCTAAGAGTCTGCGTTTCTTACAAGCTGCCAGGCGATTTCCAGACTGCTGAGGTCTACATTTTGAGTAACTGAGACCAGGTCTAGATATAGAAATATTTTATATGTTTTTTAAAATGTATTATGACTAACAGTTTTTGTTTCAAAGTATAACACCAAGTCCTTTAGTCATTTTTCTTCACGATTAATCAAAATATAGTTTTCACTTAATTATTTTTAATAAAGTATACATAATAAATTAGAATTGATTTAGTATATGAACCATGATTCAAATGTTTATTTTCTCCTCTAGTTTCCCACAAACAGTGATAGTTTGATTTAAAAAAAAAATTGGCTGAGCAGCAGTTCAAGTTTATATTCTTTGCTGAATCTCTAAGTTTAAAGTAGAGAAAAGTGTGAAATAATGGCCACACTAACTCAATATGCCTGTCCTGCCACTACATCTGATCTCACCATTGAAATGCTCTTCACTCCTTAACCTAATCTTTTGTTGGTTTGTTTATTCTACTCAAAGCCTTTGAAATCCAAAAACATTACGAAGAAGTCATATGAAGCCAAGTGATCATCTCGGCCCTTGCTTTGGAAATCCAACTTTTCTTATAGCTTTCCTGAAACTATCCCTTTATAACTGACTCTAGAACTTAAACTGACTGTCATATCTTAATTTGGTTGTTTTGAATACACACCTTCATTATTAAATTTATCTGAAATTTTGGCTAGCTCCAATTGAATTTCATGCAGCATCTTTGCCATTTTGTATTTAGACTGTGAGCAAATATTGGGTTTTGTGGTTGAATGGGCCACAGGTATAGAGTAGGATAAATATTGCCATATCTTGTATATGGAGACACTTTTTGTGTGAATGTTAAAGTATGTTTGATCTATTTTATATGTAGTTGGTTTACTTATTCAGTATTATAATATGTTCCTTTGTAGGAATTAAATCAGATGCTCTCAGAAACACCTCCAGTTTGGAAAGGGTCATCAAAGCTATTTCGAAGTCTTAAAGAAAGAGGTAAGTTAATCTTACTACTTAAGCATATTTATACTATATTATTTATACTATTTATATATACATATATTATCCTCATACCTAAAATAAAATTATTCTCATACATAAATAAGGTAAAATTTCTTTGAAAATATCATACTAACTCTAACATGAATGCACATTTTATCCAGAAGAATTTGACATTCAAATTGCTCCCACCTGGTTCACATGGAGCCTGAAAGAGACAACTTTCTTAAAATTTTTGAGAAACCCTGGCCAAGTTAGCTTTAAAAATCCTCTTAGAAATATTTTCTTAAAAGTTGTCTTAAATATTGCACTTCAGGTGACAGGCATGTGGTACAGTGTTTAAGTTGCCACTTGGGACACCCATATTCCATATCTAAGTGCTTGGTTCAAGACCTGGTAATTCCACTTCCCATCCAGCTTCCTATTAATGTGCACCCTGGAAGGCAGCAGATGATGGCTCAAGTTCTTGGGTTCCTGCTACCCATGTAGGAGACTGGGATTGAATTCCAGGCTCCTGGCTTCAGCTTGGCCCAGCCCTGACTGTGTGGGCATTTGCAGATCGGTCTCTTTCTCTCTCCGTCCCCCACCCCCACCACCTGTTAAATAAAAATAGAAATAAATTCTCTTTTAAAAATAGCTATTTTGGCCGGCACCGGGGCTCAATAGGCTAATCCTCCGCCTGCAGCGCTGGCACACCGGGTTCTAGTCCTGGTTGGGGTGCCGGATTCTGTCCCAGTTGCCCTCTTCCAGTCCAGCTCTCTGCTGTGGCCAGGGAGTGCAGTGGAGGATGGCCCAAGTCCCTGGGTCCTTCACCCCATGGGAGACCAGCAGAGGCACCTGGCTCCTGCCTTTGGATCAGCGCGGTGCGTCGGCCGAAGTGCGCCGGCCACGCAGGCCATTGGAGGGTGAACCAACGGCAAAAGGAAGACCTTTCTCTCTGTCTCTCTCTCTCTCACTGTCCACTCTGCCTGTCAAAAAAAAAATTAATAAATTTAAAAAAACACAGCTATTTCACTATTGGTATTTTAAAAAATAGATTGCCATTCAGGTCTTAGCATGGGATGAGCATCAGGAAAATTCAAAGCTCAGAAAGATTGGATTAGTATGGCGATTTTCAAAAATTGTCCTTAGTACATCTCATGGGGAAAAGCAAATTGGATCAGATATAATCTAAGAAAAATGCTTAGAAGAAGGAATATGGGAAGATTTAATCTGAAAGCCTTTATTTTAGGTATGTCTTAATTCTCCTTATGTTATATCCATGTTTGCATTTTTCTAGCAGAAAGGATGTATTTGGTATTTCCGATAGAATTATCTGCAGTGATGAAAATCTTTAATGTCTGCACCATTTAGAATGGTCACCACTAACCAAATATAGCTACTAAGCATTTGGACTGTGACTAGTATATGTGAGAAACTGGAGTTTTAGTTTTCTCTGGTTTTAATTATTTTAAATTTAAATAGTTACACATGTCCAATGGCTACCCTTTAAGATAGTGCATATCTATCAGACTATCAAGATAATCCTTGGTCTCAGAAAGTTTTAGAACCATTAAGTTAGGATAAGTAGAGAAGTGCAGCAAAGAGCCTTGTTTTTTTTTTAAATAGCAATTAAATAGAAGAGAAATATTAAAGCTAGACCTTTAGAGCTACTTTAGAGATTTTTTTTTAAATTATTTGTTTTTATTTATTTATTTTTATTGACTTAGAATATAAGGAAGCAAAGCAAAAGAGAAATTTTCCATCAGCTTATTCACTCCCCAAATGTCTACAGCAGCTAGGGCTGGGCCAGGCCAAAGGCAGAGGTACCTAGAACTCAATATGAGTCTTCTGTATAACTAGGACTCAACTATTTGAGCTGTCATATACTCCTTCCAAGGTTATTCACTAGCAAGGAGCTGGAATTGGAAGCAGAGCTAGAATTCAAAACCAGACACTGAAGTATGGGTTGTGGGCCTCCCAAGTAGTGTCTTAACTGCTGTGCCAAATGCCTGCACCTAAAGATTAATTTTAAAATGAAGACATTTATCTGCTTAAAATATTACCTAGCAAGACAATATTATACACTGTTATTTTTAAAAAGTGACATACATCTTTTATGAAAACATGTATTTCATAGACAGTTATAATACCCAACTATAACATGATATGGGAATTAAACAATGTAATGCTTTTTAAAAACTTCCCTTAAAACTGTTTTTTTGGTCGAATTTCCAAAGAAATCTAGTTGGGAGCAGGCATTTAGCCTAGTGGCTAAAACATCCACCTCCTACATTGGAGGTCTGGGTTTGATACCCACCTCTGGCCCCTGATTCTAGCTTCTCAGCAGTGCAGATCCTAGGAAGCATCAGATGATGGCTTAAGTAGTTGGGTCCCTGCCATCCACATGGGAGACCTTGATAGCATTCCCAACTCCTGACTCAAGCCCTGGTACAGCCCTAGCCGTTGCAAACATCCGGGGGTCAAATAATGGACAGGACCTCACTTGCTCTCTTTCTCTCTGCCTCTCAAATTTTAAACATTTTTAAAGAAACCTAGTTGATATCTTATCCTCATTTTTAAAAGATTGTACATTTTTATATGCTTAACATTTATTTTTATTTTATTTTTTGAGCCTGAATAACCTTAAATGAATTAAAGTATTTGTCTTATAGTTTTTCAGTTTTGTAATTGGAAAGTATTAAGAATCTACTTCTTGGCCGGCACCGTGGCTCACTAGGCTAATCCTCCGCCTTGCGGCGCTGGCACACCGGGTTCTAGTCCCGGTCGGGGCGCCGGATTCTGTCCCGGTTGCCCCTCTTCCAGGCCAGCTCTCTGCTGTGGCCAGGGAGTGCAGTGGAGGATGGCCCAAGTCCTTGGGCCCTGCACCCCATGGGAGACCAGGAGAAGCACCTGGCTCCTGGCCTAGGATCAGCGTGGTGCGCCGGCCGCAGGGCACGGGCCGTGGCGGCCATTGGAGGGTGAACCAACGGCAAAAGGAAGACCTTTCTCTCTGTCTCTCTCTCTCACTGTCCACTGTGCCTGTCAAAAAAAAAAAAAAAAAGAATCTACTTCTTGGGCCGGCGCTGTGGTGCAGCAGGTTAATGCCTTGGCCTGAGGCACCGGCATCCCATGTGGGCGCTGGTTCTAGTCCCGGCTGCTCTTCTTTCAATTCTGCTCTGCTGTGGCCTGGGATAGCTGTAGAGGATGGCCCAAGTCCTTGGGCCCCTGCACCTGCTTGGGAGACCTGGAGGAACCACCTGGCTCCTGGCTTTGGATCAGCGTAGCTCCGGTCGGTCGTTGCAGCCATCTGGGTAGTGAACCAGCAGATGGAAGACCTCTCTCTCTGTCTCTTCCTCTCTCTGTAACTCTGTCTTTCAAATAAATAAAATAAATCTTTAAAAAAAAAAAAAAGAATCTACTTCTTGTTCCCTCTGAATTAAGTCTTATAGATATGTGCCCGCCATGATAATCATGATCGCCATCAGGACTTCCACAGTTAAGTTTTCCTTGAGGGAAATCTTAAGTATCAAAAAAAGAGATGTATGGTAGTTATTAAAAATTCTTTATACCAACCAGCGACCCCTGTGTATTCTACAAACTCAGAACGTCAGTGAGATGAGGTTGGGAAGACAGCAAGCCCATTTCCCGTTTTCATTTCTCTTTATTCCTCCTGCATTGAATGATTTCTGTGTATATGTGTGGGATCCTACAGAATCAAAGTTTTGTATATTTATATATATTGAAAATTCCAGAATCTTTCTCCCATAACATTCATGGCAATCAACCAGAACTATCTGTCTATAGGTCACAATATTCTAGTATAAACAAAAGAAGAGAATGCTTTCAGGGCCTCCTGGGTTGTTCCCTTCATGTCTCTGACAAAACTGCCTGACAGTGAATCCCATTCCCTTTGTTCAGTAGCAAAAAGGGTAGCTTCAAAGAACAAAGATAAAAGTTTTAAAAGTTCATGATCTGATTATTTAATGATTTTTACACCTTTTTACCAAACATCAGAAGAATTTGATATGTAGATAAATATTTTGAGTTTTTTCCTAATTTTAATGTTCTCAATGTCTACTTGGAAGATTAGTTAAGCTGTTAACTCTAGTTTTGGGTGTTAGGTCCAAAAGCAAATATTCTAGTAACAGAATGTATATTTTTGTTTACTCTAAATAAGCTCCTTTTAAAGTTTATAATTATGGAGTGCCTAGAACTCAGGGTGCAATGTACAGAAACATAGCCATTTAATTACAATAAAAACCTCTAACAGCACATTAATTAAATAGAGTTAACCACTTTGAACCTTTTAATTTTGTTAGATTCATATATTAAAAGCTAGCAACAAGTTGAAACTATAGGTAACATAATTTTGCTTCTTTGCCCAGTTTATGTGAGGGCATTACTGGAAATTTTGTATGACTTTCTATAGAAGGCTTAGAACAACTAAAATAAAATTAATTTTGCTGTTGTTGCTTATGATTTTATGATGATTTAGTCTCACTTAAAACATTAGTATTTATTGCTATTAAAATATTTTACTTTAATAAATAAGAAAATAAAGTAATATGGTTCTAGCATAACCAATACTTTTTTTTCTAGGTGTGATTTCTTATACAGAATATCTTTTCCTTTTGTGTATTTTAACAAGTAAGTATACTCATTAAATCTATTTCTGGATACAGTTTTCTTTTTAATCAAAATCCTGGAAAACAGATCTTTCTTAGGTTTTGTTACTACTGAAAATAACTTTAGGTATGTTCTTGCTGGTCTGCAAAACTCATACAAATCCACAGAAAAATGCCAAACCAAAGCACTATCATGAATCAGAAACATAAATATTCTGGCTTATCTTTCAGTAATAAAATGCTCAAAAATTATAGATTTATTATTATGTATCAACTTTTTTGGTTTCAGTCTACATGAGATTTCAAATGTCATGTAATAATTTGTAAATTTCTTGCTAGATTCATTTGAATCACATTTTCTGCAAGACTGATATGAAGATGAGTTTCTGAACTAATGAGCCTATCAAAATACTCATCATTACATCCTAGAACATCTTTCTTATTCCCTTCCTTCATATGCAGCACTTCTAATGAAATATACAAAGGTTTACTAAGATTTTCAATTTGTTTTATTTAATGGTGGAAATTATATGTTTTCATTTACTGTCCCCAGCTACCTGCCCTTTCTATTCCTTGAATTCCTACCTCGGGGATTTGAACTGTTATTCCCTCTGATGTCCATGCTTTTCCTCAAGATCCTCTTGATAAACATCTTTCAGGGGACCAGCACTGTAGCGTAGTGGGTAAAGCTGCCGCCTGCAGTGCCAGCATCCCATATGGGCACTGGTTCGAGTACCGGCTGCTCCACTTCCAATCCAGCTCTCTGCTATGGCCTGGGAAAGCAGTAGAAGATGGCCCAAGTCCTTGGGCCCCTGCACCTGCATGGGAAACCCAGAAGAAGCTCTTGCTCCTTGCTTCAGATCCGTGCAGCGCCGGCCATTGCAGCCAACTGGGGAATGAATCAGTGGATGGAAGATCACTTTCTCTGCCTCTCCTTCTCTCTCTGTGTAACTCTGACTTTCAAATAAATAAATAAATCTTTTAAAAAAAAAATCTTTCAGGATTGCTTTCAAATGTGAGGGCGTAGCTAGTTTTACTTGATCGTCATCTCTAAAATGGTTTCCTTTCTCATCTCTTCCTTTTTTATCTCCTTCCTGTGTTTTATTTTCCTCATAGCACTTACGCTATTTGACAAGGGTTTACATGCCCTAGTGTTTCACCACACTGGAATGCAAGGTAGAAAATGGCAAAGATTTTACCTTTTGTACATCTGATGAAATGAAAATAGAAAAAAATGGGAGGATTTCTGGTTGTGAGGATATGTAGAGACATATGGAAATCAGAAATCAGAACATCAAAACTCTCATTAGAAATAAATCTGAAAATACCTTATACTTCTGTGATTAGAAAATTCACATCACAGTGTTGACTTCTATTTTAAGAAGTTTTGTTGTATGGGTTGTATGTATGCACAAGTGTTTCAAAACTTGTCTTTTTTCATTTTTTGCCTTCTGGACTTGAAACTAAAATGTTAGTGCTGAATAACAGATATTATAAAATTAGAAATGGAGTTTTATGAGGTTGATCCAGTCTGGAAAGCCATAGTGATGATGCAAGTCCAGTCAATGATGAGTGCTCAAATGAGAATTAGAATGGGTGCCAAGGAGTACCTCAGAAAGTTGTTGAAAAGTTGTCTCATTAGCTAGAACAACTTTGGATACAGTTTGAAAGTGGTAAGTACCTAAGCCAGCAGAATACAGACAAAAAATACGAGCAGTACTGTTTAGGAATGCCATTTGTTGTGATGAGACAGGGTATGTGCGTATACACACACACACACACACACACACACACAGAGAGAGAAAATTTTGATAACTACAGCAAGGTTAGGCTCTTTGGATTCTGTGAAATTTTCTTTGGAGTTCAGGAACCGTCTATAGAAATGTCTGAGGGGTTTACATTGAAAGTTTTTAGAACATTGGTGAGATTAGAACTAAGAAAAATATGAAAGACAGGTGGCAGGAAGTGGGCTATAGAATCTATAAGTTTCTCTTTACATTTTACTATTTTGCTTTCCTCACTGTTATTTACAAGGTCTTATATTTTATTTATTATTTTTGTATAGATAGATATTTTTTAAGATCTTTAAAACTTGGTTGTCAGGGATGGTGTGTATTTTTATTTCTTAGGTGAATGGTAATGAAAAATTAGGTTTTATAGTACATTCAAGAATTGAGACTGGGTGAAGGTCTACCTTCTGTTCTGGGATTTTCAGACCGCTGTTATGGTTAAGAAAGCAGGGCTTCTTTTTTGCCAGGTTTAAGATTTCACAACAGGCAGTAGCAAGTTTATCTGTGGGGGGTCCCTTTCTAAACTTCTTGCTGGTCATCTCAAAAGAAAAGATGAGATGTTTTGAGAAAGGCTTTTTACACTGAGCTCCTCTTTGAAGGACACTTCAAGTTTTCTTCTTTGTGCTCTAGAAGTGGAAAGAGGTTGGACCTCATAATAAATTTCAAAAACTAAAGCAAAGTTTGTAATATGTGAAAGTCTGTCTTTCCCAGAATAGCAGTTGTCCCTTATATTTTGGAGGAAACTGAGGATTATACCTGCAAGCTTCTTTTATTTTATATTTCTGTTTTTGAATCCTCTAGAAGTTTAAAGCCAAATATATAATATATCACTCTTGAAAGAGGTCATTTTTCATAGGTCATTTCAGATACAACTTTCTCAGTAATCAGGAGTGGTCTATTATGTCATGTTTTCTTTAAATTTTTTTCTGCCACTTTAAATAATTGAACATAGGGAAAATATTCCAGATGTTATGATTTGATAGTTTTCTTTTAAACAAACTGATAGATTTTGTATGAGAAAGAGAAATGCTTATTTTTAGAAGAAAAGTAGGCAAATTTTTCTTTGAGTGCTAACCAATAAAACCACACAGGTACTTTTAGATTGCTTTATCACTTTATTTTTAAGTGTGCTAATCTGAGGGGACTTCAGAGAGTTCTTGGGAAGATTAGACTTAAAAGCTAAGCTTATTTTGATATAAAAGTTTCTAAAATTAATACATAGTTTTTTTATAATTTGCATTTTCTGTGACTTTTTTTATATGAAGACCCCTTATAAATCAAGCAGAAATATGGTACTTGCATGTATCTTTCATTCTATTTAATAGTAATGTGTTTTTTTCAATTTCTTGTTTAAAAAAGTATTTCTGGACAGAATGTGAATAACTATTTACAACTAATACATTTTATACTGTAAAATACATTTTTTGTTTCATGAATACTTTCTCTACTCTTCTGGCAGAGCCACATGCTGGTTTTAGAATAGCTTTCAACATGTTTGACACTGATGGCAACGAGATGGTAGATAAAAAGGAGTTTTTGGTGGTATGTATCTTGTATGCTGTATCTTATCAATAATTAAATATTGCTTGCGTGTGTTTTTATACCATGAGAAATTTGGATAACTTTACATTATAAAAATATAAATTATATTCAGTGTATAAAGATCATCATAATAGGGGCTGGTATTGTGGCACAGCAGGTTAACCTGCTGCTTAGTATGATACACATCCCACATCAAAGTGCCTCGGATCAAGTCCTGACTCTGATTCTGATCCAAGGTTCTGCTAATGAGCACTAAAGGAGGCAGCAAATGATGCCTTCACTCCCTGGGTCCCTGTCATGCGCCTAGGAGACCTGGCTGGAGTTCTTGGCTCCTGGCTGTGACCTGGCTCAAACCCAACTGTTGTAGGCATTTGGGAGTGAACCACTGGATGGAAGATGTATGTAGTTCTCTCTGCCAGAAACTCTTGTTGGGTATTTAATTCTAAATTGATTTCCTTTTCAGCTTCAAGAGATATTTAGGAAAAAAAATGAAAAGAGAGAAACTAAAGGAGATGAAGAAAAGCGTGCAATGCTGGTAAGAATACTTTATAGTAGTCTCAGGTGGGTTTTCTAGGTGAGAATTATTTTATTCATGTTAAGAAAAAGTTACTAAAATTTGTAACTTTGATGCTGCCATCTTCTTGAAATGTTCCTCTATAGAGAAATTACTTCATTATTTACATGCATCAGTATCAATATTTATAGTAAATATTGATCTTAAACATCTGTATTCACAATCATATTCATTATTCATTAAATCATTTTCATCCATATTATTGTTATCTGTGAGATTTGAAGGGTATATTTAATAAAGATATTACAGATCATTATGCATGTAAAAATTTAAAGGTGAAGTGCAAAGATTTAATTATAATGTGAAGGATAGTGGTAATATAATGACATGAATGTTGAAACAAATGTTGAAACAAATACAAGGAAATAGTTTTTTCATTCTTACAATTACGTATTATAGATTCTCCTGTAATGCATAATATTTTTTTCTTATTTTGAGTTTAGAACTAAACTATATTTTTTCCTATCTTTCTACCAGTGTTTTGTTTGTCCCAAGTATTTCAGCCTGACAACAGGTCAGATTCACTTAATAAAGACTAACTAGCAGACACTGAGACCATACAGTCAGATACTATATTATGTGGTTTACATGTATTTTCTCATTTAGTCTACCCAACAATTCTCTTATCTGTAGTCATAAATGAGAAAACTAGTAAATAGAAAGGTTAAATCTTTTCTCCAGTGTTACATAGTTGTTAAATGGCAAAGTCAAGATTTGAACCCAGGTCTGGCCAACTCAAAAACCTGTGCTTTCATCCCCTGTACTGTGTCTTCATCTGCTATTTAGATACCAGAAATATTATTAATTTTGCTGGCATGTAAAGGATAGTTGCCTCATTTGCAAATGAGTTTGGCTGTGTGGTTGTTTAATTATTCTAAATGGAATTCAAGCAATTAACATCAGACAGGTATAACATATTTTGTTATTGCTCTTTGTTCTAAGAATATGTATAAGATTTTTTTAAATATGGACTATATATAGCAGACAGATACCATAGTAAATCTCACTATACTTGTGAAAAATATATTTATATTTAGTTTATTAAAAACATTGTCAGAGTTATGAAACATAATGCTTCATAGTATATTTGACTTTTATATAATTACAAGTAGTGTTGGACCTCTTACAGTATACTACTGACAAAGCTATGTAAAACATTCTTGAAAAAAATCAAAGAGCTAATTGTAATGTTAGCCAAGTATTAAAGGGGACCTTCATAATTCTCTATTGAATTCCTGTCTCATGGTTTCCAAATTATAATAAATAAATTATGTCTAAATAGGATTAGAGTATTAGCAAAGAAGACTAGAGAATTTAATACTTTCTTAAATGTCATTTCCTATAGATAATGTTTTAAAATAGTAAACAGTTATTTTAATTTTGATAGATGAACTATAACTGACTGAAGAGGTAAATTGTATTATTTAAGGAGGTTGGATTATGTTAATGAATGTACTTTAAGTGACAAAATAGATAGTATCTCAATGGATGGAAATTCAACTGTTTTATTTAATACTCTTTCCAGAAAGGTTTTATAGATCTTCCAATAAAAATACAATTCCACTGTAATCATTAACAATAACTAACATACACACATCAAGTAACAAAGCAAAAGAGATAAAGGGAAAATAATAGCAGACAGTACACACTGGGAAATACTATAGTGTCTACACAAAACTTGGCTCTGAGCTTCACTGCAGCCAAGGTAAAGTAAATTTCATATTGATTTAATGCAAATATTTCATAGTAGTGACACAGTAAAACTTCATTAACTTGAATTAATTAGGGCAAGTCTATCCAAATTATAAAATCAAAATTATACCCACATACCCTAAATTGTATTATTTAAATGCATCTGGATCAATGAAGCATTCCCTGGCAAATATAGCGGCAAAGAGTTTGTTTTAAAGAAGAGGTTAAAAATAAATTAAAAGTAATATAAAAACTTGTTTATGTGTGAAAGAATGCTACTAAAGTCGTGGATCTCCACAAGTACCACAGAAGTATTTATCTCATATAATTTAAACAGTGCTCCTGAAATCTTATTACATAATTTAACTCTCAGAGCTATTCCTTAAGAAAATTCAGAAATAACCTTTAGTTCAGATTCTGAAATCACAGAACTCCACAGTAATATAGGAAATATTCACTACTATGCTTAGTGATAATGATACTTAGTATTAATTTATTGGTGCTAGTCACATGTTAAATAATGCAAGTCTGAACTGATAAGATTCTACTTTATACTACTTTAGTTGTAGAGAATTTTGTACAATGCCAGTTGGTGTTATCAAGGTGATAGAATTAACAATATCATCCTACAAATTCTTAAAATATTTTGTATTTTAAAATAATTAAAATTTAGCTTATTCTGAAAATACATGGGCCACATGAGAGACAGTATAGCACAGGCTCAGGAGCCAGATTTTGAAGGTTTGAATATTAGCCTGCCATTCATCACATGGGTAATCTTGAACAAGGTCCTGGATTTCTCTGTCCCTCCTCTTTTTTCATTTGTGCAATAGGAGTAAGAATTCTAATCACCTGTAATTGTTATGGAGGTTAAATGAGCAATAACACAGGGACACTTAAAAGTATGTGAAATAAAAACTCAAAAGGAGGTTAGCTATTAAAGTTCTGCTTTACTTACTAGAAGCACAAAACTGTTTAAACTGAGCAATAACATAACCAAATCAGAATTAAATCAGAACTAAATCTAAAACTATTTACAAACTAAAATAAAACTACCCTTCAAAGAGGAAGAGGACAATGGACATAAAATATTTTGGGACACTTGTCTGCTAAGCTGTGTTCTATGTCCATTATAAATGTTACTCCCATTTAGTCCTCATTACAGTTCTTTGAGGTAAGTATACCTATTTCATGCACAGATGAGAAATCACTTTTAGAGATGTTGACTGGGTTTCCTAATGTCACAGCACTGATAATAGCAGAACAGGGTTCCGGTGCAGGTCTCTCATACCATTTCCACTGCCATGCTGCTACATCTAGATTTATCCCCATCCCATGTAAGGTTGCTTAAGCATGTCTAACTACAACTGCGTACTTACGAGTAAAATGTTTTACTCAAAGCAATAGTGCTATGAGAATGTTGCAATGAAAATGGTTGAAATGAGCACAAATTCATTTAATGTTTAATTATATACGATTTTTAAAACTTTGCTACTCATCTTTAACATTTATCCCACTTGTGTGTGTGCTCTATAGAGAATGTAGCATAATGATTTACCCTTCCTAATTGATTATTTTGTCGTCTTTTTCCTTTTTTCTTTTGCTATACTTGGGTTCATTCTGAAATGTGACACTTCATTTGGCCCCTTTGTGCTCTATGTCAGCGTCTTCAACTTTATGGATACCATTCTCCTACTAATAGTGTATGTACAATACTTTAAATGTTCTTTATGTAGATAGCCCTCACCTGTTATACCTGATAATGTTTTTTCTTTCCATAAAGCTATATTTGCTATTTAGAATATTTTGGGGTATATTGAATATAATAAAGTACAATCAAGCCAGAAATTTACATTTCCTTCCTAGATTTATGAGAAGACTAAAATAAACTGAGAAATTGTGTAACATTAGATTAAAATAAGGCAAAGGTGAGTGAACAGCAGCCAATAATCTGGCAGAGTAATAGAAAATTTTTATTTTTCAGCAGTATCTGAAGAGTTATGTCCGAACTATAAAATAGATACTCATGCTATGCTCCTGAAGAATACAACTATTTTAGAGCTAGATCTGTCCACCTGGCTTGTAGTTTTTGTTCAGTTCTAATAAAGAAGTGTATTAATGGATAGACTTTTTGTTTAGTTTTTAGTATTTCTCACATTTTTTTTCTCTAAAACCTTTATTGCTATCCTACTTTATCTGCTCCATTCAAGTACTTGGCCCAAGATGCTTCTTAATACATTCAGTATATCAGGATGTCATTATTTCTTCAAGAGAAATTATGACTCTTGAGAAAATTTAACAGTTCCTATATGTGAAATTCCAAATGTATTCTTTTTTTTTATTTGACTGGTGGTCATACCTGACCAGTCACAAATGTATTCTTCTTATGCTGAGCTTTCTTCTTTCTATTCTGAGAAAGTCAGAGATTGTTGGTTAGCTCAGCCTTTAAGTAATTAATATACTAAAATTGGGCACATTGAGTGTAAAAGTTCACAGTTCATTTAATTTCTCCAGGGATCCTTCAGTTACCTATAAGGATACTCAAATCATAGAAATTCCACCTGAGATGCCGTTGAAACTAGGGTTGCCCAGTATTACCCTGCTGAAGGTTTCAGTGTACAAATCTAAAAGTTGGTTTCTGCCTCTTGATTGGATGGTTAATTAGAATTCCAGACTCTAAACACTAATCCTTCTTCTGGGTTGAACATATAGTAGAAGTTGCTTTAGCATGAAGTAAACCCAAAATAGTTTGCCTAGTCACAAGGAATGGATCTAGAAAGGGTCAGAGGATAAGCCAAGTTCATGGGACCCATATAACTAATTGTTTTAATTCCTCACAAGATATTTTAAATTTATTCTACAAAATTCACCACCATTTTCCATTAAGTAGAGTCTATCATTTTCTTAAAAAATTTTAAAGATTCCTCTGTTAATTATTCAAAATTTTATAAGAATAAATAAGATAAAAATCCCATAGAGTATAATGCCATGTGCCCTGAGAAAATTAATATCAATAACATTTATAACTTTATGATTTATTTTTCTGTCTACCAGGTCATTATTGTATTAGCCATTTTCCTATCTGTGACAATTTTTATTTTTTCTTTACTCTCATAAGTAATTTTCATATAGGATGATTATGTGCTTTGGAAAAATACATCTCAGATTATTCTTAAAAGGAAAGAGTTTGTAACACTTATACAAATTGCAGTAATACAGACATTAAGAGAATAATAAGAGAAACATTTAAATTTCATATTTCACTTAGGCTTATTAAACAAAAAGTAATATGATTTTACATTTTACTGTTGTAATATTTATATTTTCATAATCCTTATTTTATTTTACTGGTAGCTTTTTCCCATATGTAAAATGTGTATTCTAAAGGGCCATAACTTGGTGTCTTTTTTACCTACTTGTAAGTGAACAATATGATTTTTTAACTTCTTTGGGAATTTAGTCAGTTGTATAAACTTTTTTTCCTATAAAAGAAACAGGATCATTTTCAAAACCTGCAAGCAAATAAATTTTTTTAAAATTAGAAGAAAATTCAGTCTGAAGATATACATGCATTATCATTGATATAAGTACGACACAAACATGTTAGTTTAATCTTATAAATTAAATAGCAATTATTTGCTGATTTCCAGAGTTATATATTAACTGGAACAATCAAGTTGTATTCTCATTTGAGTGCAGATCATGGAGTTGAGTATAACCTAAGAGATGCAAAGGTACTTCAAAAAGTTTGTGAGAAACAGATTAAGTTTATTTTGGTACAGAAAAACCTTTTGAAATCCATGCATGGGAAGGCTTTTCAAAAAGAGGTCTTCAGGCTGGTGCCAGGGCTCACTTGGTTAATCCTCTGCCTGCGGCACCGGCATCCCATTTGGGCTCCGGATTCTAGTCCCAGTTGCTCCTCTTCCAGTCCAGCTCTCTGCTGTGGCCCGGGAAGGCAGTGGAGGATGGCCCAAGTGCTTGGGCCCCTGCACCCGCATGGGAGACCAGGAGGAGGCACCTGGCTCCTGGCTTCGGATCAGTGTAGCTCCAGCCATGGCGGCCATTTGGGGAGTGAACCAACAGAAGGAAGACCTTTCTCTCTCTCTCTCTCACTGTCTATAACTCTACCTGTCAAATAAATTAAAAAAAAATAAAGTTCTTCACTTCATGAAAAATGCTCATTATGAAAAATCTATGCATGTATTTCAAATTTTTTTGCACCAGAATAAACTTATCTTTTAAAATTTTATTTATTTATTTATTTAACTTTCATTTTATTTGAAAGGCAGAGAGACAGATGGAATAGCAGTCTCACTCTCCAAATATCCACAACAACCAGGGCTGGGCCAAGCCAAAGACAGAAGCCTGGAACTCCATCTGGGTTTCCCACATAGGTGGCAGGGACCCAAATATTTGATCTGCTGCCTCCTAGTAGCACATTAGTGGGAAGCTGGATCAGAAGCAGAGAAGCTAGGATTCAACCCAGGCACTCCAATGTGGCATGTTGGCTATATGTGTGTACCTACCTACTATACCAACACCCACCACAACTTAACCTTTTTACTCCATTTTCACATGAACTTTCTGAAGTACCCTCACATCTGATAGCCACTTTCTACCTTTAGGAAGGAGTTCCATTAGGAAAGGCAGTGGCCCTCTTTGGTTATTACTAAGATTCCGTTGTGGCCTCTATAGTAGCGTGCTTCAAATTTAAAACTAATTAATCAATCATTAATAATTTAATCATCACAGTATATGTTAAATCATTTCTTGCTGTATTGTAAAACTGATCATATTTCTTTGTATCCACAAAGATAGTTTCCACCTTTATAATTACTGTTCCAAATAATCCTGATTCTTTTCATACTTCTTTTCTCATACAGTCAACTCTTGATTTTCTTCCCACAGTGATGAAAAGAAGTATAAAAATTTTAAAAGAATAAGTACTCCCTGAGTCAAGTATATTGATTTTGGCATGCTTTATATGGCTTCTTAAAGATTATTCTTAATTACTCTAATTCCACTGCCATTTTCTGATGGCAATATTTATAATAATTTATAATAATTCCTTGGTATGTATTAACACTTATTTTATGGACTAAGTGTTGATATTCATAAATAATTTGTTTTTGTAAAGAATGTGTTTTTTCAATTTTGGGTGATAAGGTTGTAATATATATGAATGTGCATGGACTTCAAAAATTTTTTCACCAAAATAAACTTATCTTTTAACTCCATTTTCCATGAACTTTTTGAAGTACCATCATATATATTACCACCTGTTAATGTGTTTTAAATTTTCTGTCATTACTAATGTTTTTGTGTGCTTGATCTGTCAGTATTCTAAATTACATGGTTACAATAATAGATTTGTTAATTTTTATTTATAGATCTCTTAATTTTTGTTTTACATGTTTTGAAGCATTATTACCTGTATAAGACTATAGATTATTTATATCTGCTTAGTAAATTGGATCTTCTACTATATACTATCTCTAAACCTCTAGAAATGCTTTTGCTTTAATATCTACTATAGTTGATCTGAATAACTATCCATCCTTATTTTTCTTAATATTTTATATTATTGTCTTTAAAATTTTTTCTCCTGTAGTGATGATTTTTAAGCATATCTTGAGTTCAAAATTTACTGAAAATTTTATATTAAGTAAATCATTACAAAATTTTAACCACCATATGTATCAAGAAATAACATATTGCCATACCCCCAGGAAGCCCCTTCCTACGTATTCTCAGTTGGCTTCCCTCACTGTTTTCAGGAAGATAACCATAATCATGACTTTCATGTAAATCATTTATTTGTTGTGCTTTGCTAATTCAATCCTAAGCAACAGAATTTAGGTTTACACATTTTTGTGCTTCATGTAAATGGAATCATATCATCTGAATTTTTCCATGTCTTGCTTCCATTGTGATTGTCAGTTTCATCTGCATTGTTGTATTCATTCCTAGTTCATTGTCTTTTATTGCTATAGCAGTGGTTCTCAAACATTTGGTCTTACGATATCTTCATTATTGCAAATTGAGAATCCAAAAATTTTGTTTTGTGGGTTTTAACTACCTGATAGAATTTAAACATATATTTTTAAAACAAGAATAAATAACACTACATGTTAATGTAAACTATTTTATGAAAAATAACAATGTGGTGAGGAGAGTGGTATTGTTTTACATTTTATGCAGATCTCTTTGATGTCTGCTTTAATAAAAGACAGCTCATTTTTCATAATTGCTTTTGTATTCACTCTGTTGCAACACATTATTTTGGCAACAAATACTGTCAGTTGTTTGCTTTGAGTAACAAGCTCACTTGGGTCATTTTCCAAAAAAATTCTGCCAACTACTGAACTTTGAATAATCATAATTTGTCTGTTAGTTGTTCTTTTAAATAAAAATGACAGTTCATGAAAGAGGGGGTAGTTCAGCTTGCAACATCACAATCTTTCATTCTTTTCTCAGACAACTGTAGTAGTACTTCAGTATGCAGCAAAAGTACTTTAGGGATGTTTCCCATTTCACCACTCCAACTATTAAATAGATAGATATTCAGTAGACAGTTGAAAAAAATTGTGTTTTCTTCTTCATCAAGTATTCTTTTTTTTTTCTTTTTTTTTTTAGACAGGCAGAGTTAGACAGTGAGAGAGAGACAGAGAGAAAGGTCTTCCTTCCGTTGGTTCATCCCCCAAATGGCCACCACGGTCGGCACACTGCGCCGATCCGAAGCCAGGAGCCAGGTGTTTTCTCCTGGTCTCCCATGTGGGTGCAGGGGCCCAAGCACTTGGACCATCCTCCACTGCCTTCCCAAGCCACAGCAGAGAGCTGGACTGGAAGAGGAGCAACCGGGACCAGAACCTGGCACCCATATGGGATGCCAGTGCTGCAGGCGGAGGATTAACCAAGTGAGCCATGGCGCCGGCCCCAGCAAGTACATTCTTAAGTGGATTTCATTTTTCCTTGTGTTCTGTTTTTTTTTTTTTTTTTTTTTTTTTACTATAAGTGTTTGGCACTGAAGAATGTAATGATTTTGGTCTTTGGTGACACTGATTCATTTGTACTTAGGCACCAGCAGTTTTACGGACACCATTGCTTTTCCACCATCAGAGCAAATGTCAACACAGTGCCAGAGGCAAATAATGTCTGCAAGATTATGTTGCACAGCTTTCAGTTGTTCTCAGTGAGACGGTTGGTGCTAATTACTAGCCTTTCATTAATAGAAGCCTGTTACAACTTTTTTAACCCCTTTCTTTCCTTACTTGTTAGGAAGGTCTTAAAATTTTTTTTCTCTATTTATCTATTTGAAAAGTAGAGTTACAGAAGAGAGAGGGAGAGATAGAGAAAAATCTTCCATCCACTGGTTCACTCCCCAGATGGCTGCAATGGCTGGAGATGGGGCTGATCTGAAGCCAGAAGCCAGGAGCTTCTTCCAGATCTCCCACATGGGTGCAGGGGCACAAGCACTTGGGCCATCTTCTGCTGCTTTCCCAGGCCATAGGAAAGAGCTGGATCAGAAGAGGAGCAGCCGGGTGTTGAACCAGTGCCCATATGGGATGCCTACACCACAGGCAGATGCTTAGCCTACTATACCACAGCTCTGGCTCGGGGATGTCTTTTGTAACAGCATACTTTGTAAATTGTGCTGTTTTCTTTTTATCCTGGTTCACAATCTGTGTTTTTTAACTGGAGAATTCAATTTAGATTACTGTGCTTGCTAATTGATTTGGATTTTATACTAGTCATTTTATTCTACAAGTAGATACTGTTGTTTTTTCTTTCTTGCCTTATTTTGAATTAATTAAAGTTTATTCCCCCACTTTTTATTTTTCTCTGAGTTAGAAGATATACACCAAATTTCTGTTCTTTGTGTTGCTATTCCTGAGATTTTAATTAAATATACTTAAAACAATAGTCTTAGATTACATAGTATCTACTCTATAACTCAAAAAGAATCTTAAAATACTTTATTGTCTTTTATTCCTCTCCTGGCATGGGTACTTGAAATTATTGTACAGTATTTTCCATAATTTTTTTTCTAATACCACATACTTGATTTTTTTTTTTCATTTTTTGAGAAGCAGAGAGAAGTTCCCATCTGCTGGTTCATTCACCAAGTACCTGCAGCTCAATCCAAGTCTCCATTGTGTGAGGCAGGAACCCAGTTTCTTCAGCTGTCTTAATTGCTGGGCCAAGTATCTACTCCCTAGACTATTACAATATGTACAATAGGTACTTATTTAGAATTATTTTCATATTTGTTAGATTTTATATTCACTAATTCATTCTTTAAGCTTACCCCTTACTAAATCTCATAATTGTACACTCTTAAAATATATACTTAGGTGAGGATATTTTGATTCATTAAAATACAAAAACAGGCAGGCATATGGTGTAGCAGTTGAGGCATTTCTTGGGATACCCACATCCCCCATATCTAAGTGCCTAGATTTGAGTCCTAACTCTGCTTCTGATTCTGGCATTTCTGCAGGAGATGATGGCCCAGGTAGTTGGATCCCTGCCACCTTTGTGGGAGACCTGGATTCAGTTCCAGTTTCTAACTTCAGATTTTAATTTGAAAAAGTTGTGTGTTTTTCTAATAAAGATACATGTTTTTAAAAATATTATTAATGTGGGGATAGAAAGAAGAAAATGAAAAATATCCTGTCATTCAGTGATAATCAGTATATTTTAGTAGATTGGCTTCTTTTCTCTGCTTAGAAAACACATGGTTTGCTAAACTAACTTTATCTCCTGATAGTATTGTGAATATTTGTATAATGTCATGTGTGTGTGTGTGTCTCTGTGTGAGAGAGAGATGGTGACCAGTGTTTGGCACCCGGCTTCACAAAGAGAATCGTTTCTCTTTTTCTCCTACAGAGTAAGCCTTATTTTCTAATTTGGTAGATTTAACAATCCTCTTCTTTATCATACCTTCTAGGTTTCTACTTTTAAATGATCCAGGTTCAAAATATGTAAATAATACTTGAAAGTTAAGTATTTAATTTAGCTTGTATTTGCTGAGGTTATTCCATAACTATATAACAGAAAATGAACTGTGTAGTTCTGTATTTAGCTCTTTTTACCTGTTTAATTTATGTTTAGTTTATAAGTTCTTAGTTAAAGCTTATTAAGTTACTGAAAAGAATGTTGAAAAAATTTTCCTTCACTTTGCTACATTTATGCTTTTGGTAACACTTATGTTATCTAAGGAGTTCCTGCCAGATAATGTGTTATTATTAACATTGTATTGAACATTTATTAAAATATGGTCAGCAAGCCAAAGTTTCTAGTTAATAGGAAGAAATTAAAATTTAGAAGATTTTATAAATACTTCCTTAATGCACTATAAATTTATTAGAGGTGACAAACTTTAAAAATTAAGGCCAAAAAGAAAAGTTCTCTTTTTTTCAGTATGTCACTTTTAAGTACATCATGCTGCATTTTTTTCTTATAATAACTAAAAGATCATCAAATCAGAAATTCTGTGAACCATTCCCTGGTAAATCCTGACAAATATTGTGCTGCTTTTAATTATTTTGTTTACAGAGATCCAAATTAGGTTTGCAATTTAACATTTTCATAGGAAAGTTAGACCATAATTCTTAGTCTTCATATCTCCTTCTTCAGACTAGAAAATATTGATGTCCTATTCTTGTAACATGGATTAGAAAGAACCTATCCAGTTATAATATTACCACCTACCAAATCCCAGAGTACGTTTGAGTTGTTCGATTTATCGATTTAAACAGGTATGCTTCCTTTTGTAAAGCTTTGGGTTATTTGAACTTGGTTTCCCTAAGTATGTTGATTTTTTTGATCACTAACAAGATGGATGACCACCAACAATTTTATTTTTAAAGTATGATTTTAAGAGTTTGCTACAAAATTACCAAAATCTTCTCCAGTTACGTCACAAAAAGTGAAAATGAAAATTGTATTTCATACTTTTTAGAAGTTACATGTATTTCAATTAAAGAGTGGAGGAAGGGTTTGGAGAATTTGATTCTTTTTGACAGAGTCACATTGTACTTAGAAATAGTGGTTGTATACCATTAACTACTTCTTTTAAAGTACCAAGGCTTTCCAACAGTGTAATATAATACTGTTGTGTGCAGCAGAAAACAAAAAGGTAAGCTCATATGTTTCCTTTTTGAGATTGGCTTTTAAGAGATTTAAAGTTTATAAATTATAATTCTAAATTACTTATTCTTTAGATTTCAGTTGTGCTTCTTAAAATTTCTCCAGGTACTTAAACCAGATGTGGAGGAACTGGTCTCCAGAAGTTACTGGGATACCCTGAGACGTAACACAAGCCAAGCACTCTTTTCGGACCTTGCAGAGGTATAAATAAATCCCAACAAGGTCCTTGTACTAGTTGTCATTTTGTTAATCTTGTACTCATTTTTACTGTAAAGTCACAAAGATGACACCAAAATAAATTAATGCTTTCCATTTTTAAAAAATATTTATTTATTTGAAAGCTAGTGTTTCAGAGAGAGGGAGAGAGAGAGACAGCCAGACAGATCTTCCATCTGCTGGTTCACTGACCAGATGGCCACAACTGCCAGAACTGGGCCAGGCTGAGTCCAGGAACCAGGAGCTTCATCTGGGCCTCCCACATGAGTGGTAGGTACACTTGGGCCATCTTTTGCTGCTTTTCCCAGTCCATTAGCAGGGAGCTGGATCAGAAGTGGAGCAGCAAGGACATGAAGCGGTGCCCATATGTGATGCTGGCACTGCAGATGGCAGCTTTACCTGCTACGCCACAATGCCAGCCTCTCCATTTTCTTTATTACAGCAATAATTACTTTGTATACTTAATAGTTGAATATGCCAACCATGCTGATGGGCTGCAAAATCGCCTGTAATAGTCCATGCTAAATGAACCTGCTTGTTATATAAAATACGACTTTCCAACTTAATTCAAAGGAAGTGGTGTTGCATTTTACCTAAGGATCGCTTTCTAGAAATTTGAAAATAGTAATATAGTTTCACTGTATCTTTTAACCTTATATCTTTCAATGTTATATGAAATGCTGAAGTGTTTCACTTAGTAAAAGAGAGCTGGCTCTTCAGTTATTTTAGATTTAACCAATTAAATTTCCCAATGATAACAGTAAGTGGCTTACCAAGACCAGAACTATATGTAGGCAGTGGGGAAAGGGGAAAAGAAGAAGTGTGGTTGAAACAGCCAAGCAATCATGGGAAAGTCATGGCATTTTTAAAGATAGCCAGTGTGTGATGAAAATATAAAGCAGACTGATCTTCAGTTTTATCATTGCTTTTGATTTTGATAGGGGAGGGCACCTGTTGCTACACTGGGGTGGACTATTTCTACCACCCAGCTCCTATGCCACTGTCAACAGCAATATAATTTAAAAGATAAGGTATATCATGTTGGTTATATGCCATTTTATATATCATATTAAGAAGTTACAGAATTAAATTAACATTTTATGATTAGTTTTTAAAAATATTTATTTATTTATTTGAAAGGCAGTTACAGAGAGATAGAGGCAGAGAGAGTGAGAGAGGTCTTCCAACAGCAGGCTCATTCCCCAGATGGTCACAATGGCCAGAACTGGGCCGATCAGAAGCTAGGAGCTTCCTCCAGGTCTCCCACACAGGTGCAGGGGCCCAAGGAATTGGGCCATCTTCCACTGACTTCCCAGGCCATTAGCAGGGAGCTGCATCAGAAGTGGAACAGCTGGGACTTGAACTGGCACCCATATGGGATGCCGGCACTGCAGGTGGTGGCTTTATCCTCCATGCCACAGGTCCAGTCCCAATTAGTTTTATTAAAAGACTTTATTGGAGGAGGTGATCAGTATTTTCAAAAAGACTAAAAGCAACTTTTCAATAGATACTTAAGAGATTTGGTTTTCATTATCTTTTTCTGTTCAGAGTTGGTTTCTCATTTCTTTTTCTGAACTTCAAGTTTGATTTTTAAAAATTATATCTAAACGTATAAGGAGAAGTAAACTGCAATCATTTGTGACTTTGTTATCCATCACTACTTGTAGACTCGAGCAAACATCTGGAGATGTTCCTGTTGTCACTCATCTTCAATTTTAAAGTCCCCTAACAAAACAACAACAATAGAAAACATTTTGCCCTATGTTTAATCTGTCATGTATAAGTATGATATTAGTATGACCTTTTAAAAATTACCTTTAAAATTTGAACCATGTTTAGGTGTGAAGTAGTTAATGCTCCATTTACAGATATCTTAAAAGTACTTTATTTTGTAGTCATTTATATAGGCACACATAAGTCAGTTCTTAAAGAATATGGGACCGTCATTGTGGCACAAATGGGTTAAACTGCAGCTTGCAAGGCTGGCATCCCATACTGTAGTACCAGTTCAAGTCCAGCCTGCTCTACTTCAGATCCAGCTTCCTATACATGAGCGTCTGCCACCCATCTGGGAGACCAAGAGTTCCTGGCACCCGGTTTTGGGCTGGTCCAGACCTGGCTATTGTGGTCATTGAGGGGTAAACCAGCACTTGGATGATTCATTCTCTCTCTCTCTCCCCCTTGCTCTGCCTTTAAATAAATCACAAATCCTTCAATTAAAAAAAAATTAAGGGCAACTAATGAGAAGGCATTTGGCATAGTGATTAAGGTGTTGCTTAGGATGCTGGCATCCCAAATTGGAGTGCCTGGGTTCAAGTACCAGCTCTTCTCCCAATTCTAATGTCCTGCTAACACACACCCCAAGAGGCAGCAGGTGATAGCTCAAGTAGCTAGATTCTTGCCATATACATGGGAGACCTGGACTGAGCTCCCAGCTCCCAGCTTCTGCCTGGTCTAGCCCCAGCGATTGCTGGAATTTGGGAAGTGAATCGGTGAATAAAATCACTCTTGCTCACTCTCTCCAAGCCTTCTCAAATAAGTAAAATACATAAGTAAAAAATTTCAAAAATAAGAATTCTGTAAGAGCTAAATGTGGCCTAGCTTCTAGGCCTCAGTCATTTTAGCACCGTCTCTCCCCATACTACATGTCCACCTTCCAAACTCCAACACATTTGTAATCCCAGCTAACTTCGCTATGAGGTCAGGCCTTTGGCACAGCAGTTCAGATGCTGCTCCAGATGCTTGCATCTCACACCATTGCCCTGATTTGAATCCTGGCTATGCTGCTTCCAAATACAGCTTCCTGCTAATGTGCACCCCGCGAGGCAGCAGGTAATGGCCCAAGTGCTCATGTCCCTGCCACCCAAGTGGGAGATTCAGATTGTGCTCCATGCTCCTGGGTTCAGCCTGGCCTAGTCTCTGCTGTTGCAGGCATCTGGGGGAGTGAATCAGCTAATGGAAGATATTCTTTCTCCCTGCGCCACCCCAATAAAATGAAAATAAACTGTTACTAAATCTCATAGACAAAATCTGCTAGTTGTATGATAACTTTAAGTTAAATATTAGAAGGTTTAATATCAAAAGACAGTAAGGTCTTATATACTCTGAAGATTATTTGATTTGTATAAGATCTTAAAAAATGTATGGACTATAACAGGTGTGCTGGAGCTGGCTTTTACAGCTTCGCAGAGCTGATGTGCACATCTCTTCACACCTTAACATTCTGTGACTTAAGTGGCTATGATCAAAGTATTAATACTACAGAACTTAAAATCATATATGTATAAAGTTAACTGAAAATAGATCTTAGTAAAAAATAAGAATGGCAATAGGAAAAGGAGGAGGAAGAGGGGTGGGAGTGTGGCTGGGAGGACAAGTACAGTTGGGAATATCACCACGTTCCTAAAGTTGTACTTATGAAATGCATGAAGTTTGTATTCCTTAAATAAAGGGTTTCTGGGAAAAAAAAACACAGAACTACAAACACTAAAAATTAGCCTTTTGTTTTTCCTGGCAAAGCAGGTTGCCAGCATACCGTTGGCTATAATTAATCTACACTGTGATCATAAACTACTAAATTAATAAATTGCTTCTAGCATTATGAAGTCAGTATGACACAGAGAAGACAAAAGAGGAAAAGAAACCAAAATATTTATTGTATTCCAAAGTAAAATAATTATTTGGGGATTTTCTGATATTACCTTCCCATATTTGAAAGAATAACAATTGAGAATTAACTACAGTTTAAGTTATAACTAATTTTAATTCCTTATAGTTTATTATGTATATTAGTGTAATATATAATTATATATAGTATTAGGATTCAGGATTCAGTTGACTCAGAAAGAAAGCTTATGAATCTATTTTTATTTGCATTTCCTTGTTATATACTTAATATATAATTATTACAATAAAGTAGTTTAGTTTTCTTTAAATGTTGTAGGTGATTGGGTATTAGCTTCTCATGTTCTTATTCCAGAACTGTTCCTAACCATAGATTTTTCTAAATTATAGCAAAGCCATGTGTTTTAAATTATTGTAAAATCATACAGTGAAGATTTTAACATGTCACTGCTAACTCCATGCATACATGATTACAAAGTTATTTTGTACCAAAGTAAACTTATTCTCTATTTCCCATGAATTTTTTAAGTAGTTTTATAAGTTTATAGTATGATTCGATGAACATCATGCAGCTTGAATGTAGGCTTATAAGAATTATGAACACTATTTTGAGTTCCACAGATGAAATTTAAATATATTTCTTGTTTTAAACTCTTATTTATAATGATTTAAATAAGTTATTCCAAAGCTTTATTAACAAGTCAAGAGTTTGAAAAAAAAGAAACATAAGACTACTGGCATATTGTAATCAGTAATTGTATGTTAAAAGAATATCTTAAAACTCCTTAGTAGTTTGACAGATTGTATTTGATGCAATTTTTTTATTTCATTTTTTATGAAATGGTTTAAATGATTTTTAATCCAAGTTAGATAATGGCCTTTTCTGTAAAGGCCTGTGGGGTTCTTTTGTGGCTTTTGTCATGAAAACACTAATTAATTTTAACAACAGACACAGGAATCAAAATGATAAAGTCTTTGTTTCTGTCTCAACTCTTGTATGATTTAAGTTATATAGCAGGATACCAGGGACACTGTTATAGTTTTCAATGACTGAGCACTTCTGTTTCACTGATGGAGGCACAAAGTTTTCTTATTTTCATTTTCTAACTTTTTTCTCTAATATCAAACTTACTTATGCCTCTGTTGAACTGAATTATCTGGACAAGTGCAACGTAAATCTAACAATATTTTATGTATTTTTTAAAAGATTTATTTTATTTATTTGAAAGGCAGAGAAACAGAGAGAGATGGAGAGAGAGAGAGAGATCTTCCATCCACTGGTTCACTCCCTAAATTTCTGCAATGGCCAGTGCTAGACCAGGCTGAAGCTAGCAGCCAAGAGCTTCTTCCAGGTCTTCCACATGGGTGCAGGGGCCCAAGTACTTGGACCATCTTCCACTGCTTTCTCTGGTCATTAGCAGAGAGCTGGGTTGGAAGCCTAGCAGCTGGGACTGGAAGGACTGGAACCAGTGCCCATATGAGATGCCAGCAAGTAGAGTCTTAACCTTCTAAGTCACAGCACTAGCTCCTAAATCTAACAAGATTTTAATGCTGAAAGAGTGTTAAGTGAAGATCTGCTCTAATTAGTAGGTGTGATAAGAACTGGCTCAATGAAGTCATTAGTTAAAACCTGTACAAAACAAAGTCATCTCATTTTAGTGCACTATACTTGAGTTAAAGGACATTACAACATTGTAGAAAAAACATTTTTTTAATTTTATTGTTATCTGAGTTCATTAGTTTTTGGTTTTTCTATCACCTCTCATTTTAAGGCTTTTTTTTTTCAGATCTATAAAACATCTTTTTCAAGAGTAAGAAAGAAGTGTGTACCATTTAAAACTTTTTTTTCCTCCTTACACTTCAACATTATTATCTTTTTTGTCTCAAATGGTCCTTTTTCAACTTCTTGGGATATTTTACTTGGCAAAAAAATAAATAATAGCTAACATTTATTGAACATTTACATTATGCTGGTTACAATGCTATATGATTTGCATGTATTATCTAATGCATACAACCCTGTAGGTCATATATTATTATCATTCTTGAAGATGATATCCCAGAAAGATTAATTTCCTGAGGGTCATTTAAGTCATGAGAAGTGTCATGATTCAAAGCCAACCAGCTGGGGTCAGCGACTGTGGTGTAGCTGGTAAAGCCACCACCTGTAATTTCAGTATCCCGTGTGGGCGCCAGTTTCTGTCCTGGATGCTCCACTTCTGATCCAACTGCCTGCTAATGCACCTGAGAAAGCATCAGAAGATAGCCCAAGAGTTTGCACCCCTGCCACCCACGTGGGAGACCTGGATGAAGCTCCTGGCTCCTGGCTTCAGTCTGGCTCTTCCCTGGCTATTGTGGCTGTCTGGGGTGTGAACTAGATGGCAGAGGCTCTCTCTTTCCACCTCTCTCTCTGTAACTCTGCCTTTCAAACAAATAAATAAATCTTTAAAAACCAGACGAGACGAAGCCAGCCATCTTACTTCAAAACTCTGTTTTATTTCTTTACGCACTACAAGAACCTTTTTCAAAAATACCTGCCCCCCACCAACAGACACACACACACCACTTATTTACCTTGTCCTCCCACCCCATTCCTTTAGCTTCCAGACAGATATTGTCTTTTCCTGTGCTAAAAACCTAGAGCTTAGTCTTAGTCTTCTCTTAGGCATACCTTTTGTAATATTTCATCCTCCCTATTAATTTAAGCTGTTCTTTGGATAATTAACTGATTAGACCATACTAAAACATAAAGGGGGCCTATAATTAACATAAGATACCTTTTTTCCTTGAACTTATTTGTGTCTTATGATTACTAGTAAGAATGTTTGTATGCTTCATTTACCCTCATTTAACTTTATCCTCAAAATTATTATGATGGTTTGATTATTCTCATCTTACAAATGAGTAAGCTTAGGAAAAATCCAGTGAACCCAAGACTTCTACTTTAAAATCCTCTTCCCATTAGAGCAGCATGCTTTCTCTGTGTAAAGCTACTGATGAGAGTAGTGTCTTTTGAGGGTCACTCAAATTACACTGGTCTCCTGTCACATAGACAGAGAGCCTGGCAATGGCACAGTATTATTCTTCATCATTCATAAAATGCTTGTTCAAGAAGATATGCCTAAAAGATAACATGTGATGCTTGGCTACCTGGCTATATTATTTTTCCCTTAGCAATCAGCTCAAACTGCTATCAGGTCTCCAGAGAAGTTTGTTGCAAAAATAGGGAATTTTCAAATATTGCAGTTACTGAGATACTCAGGGCTTCTTATCAAACTAAACTGAAAAACAGTGCTAGAGATCTTTCAAACCAAGAATATGGAGTTTATATACTCAAGATAGATTAGGGTAATCCAAGCTAAATTACTTAAATATAAATAGAATATATAAATGATTACTAAGGAATTCTGGTAGTTTTAAAGATATACTCTGTATGTTAGAGTTTCGAAGAGAAATCACTTTAAAGAAAGTTTTATGGAATGAAAGAGGACTTGTCAGAGGGGAAATAAGATGTAGTCCTTTTAGTCCATATTTTTCTTAAAAGAGAGACTAATTTCTGATCTAGGAAGGAATAAATCAAAGATTCAATAAATGTTATAAAGAATAACATAGCTACTCTCTGAGAGATTAGATTGAGAGCTGTGAGGGATAGATTAAATTTGGTATGTGAAAGGTGAAAACAAGTTTTATATCAAGGACCATAAAAGAAGAATGATCTTTCATAGAGAAAGAAGTATTTTTTTTTCTGAGTCTTCTGTTTCCTATGGAGTACCATCTGGATTCTGGCCAAGAAGTAATGCTTTTTCAACCATGTACCTTAGTGGACATCTACAGCTATTCTTAATTTCCTGGGATGTTCCATGGGGAAATTATAATCATTTGAATTTTATTACTCTTGTACTTGAGTTTATAAAATATTCATGAGCTCAAAGCCAAGTGAGGAAGGAAGGACAGGAGAGAACGAAAGAGGAAAAGACCTCTAAAGCTACATTCAAGGAAAAAAGTAAGATTTTCTTAGGCCATTAAACATTAAAAGACTATAGTCAAGCTATTTTTGAACACACTTTTTGAAACAGTTTATCAAGTTGAATTGGAAAGGAAAAATACTTTGGAATTAATTTCTTATTCATTCAAAAATTATGTAAGACTTTTCTTTGAAAAAATTACAGTTTATGTAAGTTCCAAGTTAATATCACTAGTTTTCCTTTCAAATTAGAACATTTATTTAAAATACCATAATTATGGTATATAATAGGAAAGTATCATCATGGTTAAAGGAAACTCTTTTGGGAAGCTTAAGGCCATTCTTGTTTTAGCCCCCTATATTCAATACATCTGAAGAATTTACTGCTTTTGAATACCTAGGAATATGGATTTTCATGTTAACTAAGAAAATCCAAGCTAAATTGCTTATATAAAAGTAGAACTTAGATGATTACCAAAAAGTTTCAGCTATTTTAGATACTTCATAGACAACCTGTAAGCATAATTTGAAGTTGAAAATGTCTTAAAACATAATCATATCTTTAGAATTTTTTGAGAATATTTCTTAAAATTTATAAATATTTTTAGAAAATATTAATATAGCCCGTGTTTTTCATTGTAACATTGATATATTTATGTTCTTTTGTATGCTGATAAAATTTTCTGAGGGATGTTAGTTATCTCTAATCCATTTATTTCAGTTAATATTTAAATTGTAATTTTCTTTTAAGCGTGCTGATGATATAACAAGTTTAGTAGCAGACACTACACTTCTTGTGCATTTTTTTGGGAAGAAAGGAAAAGCTGAGCTCAACTTTGAAGATTTTTATAGGTGAGCTTAATTTTTGTGGAAAATTATGAGTATATTAATAATTTTAAAATTATTTAAAAATCTTCACATTCTTTAAAAATAATTTACTGCAAGGCTATTCATCAGTTTTCTACTTTCATCTTAATTGAAGATGCTCTGTATAATAAATATCTACTTCCATTAATATCAACATACCAGTAAATATACTGATGATTATAAGGACGTTACTGAATGGTAAGAAAAAAATACCTTCATGTCTGGATTGATTAGTATCTACTGTATATTTAGAAGAAGACATCTTCCAATATGTTGATCACAATAAGACAGGATAATAATAACTAGAAATTTCAGTATCATCACTACTCTGCAAAGTACTTTTGTTACTCCATTTTACAAGCAGAGAAACCCACGTCCTGAGAAGCTAAGTTATTTGCCTCAGTGATGCAGCTTCTGATACTTTTTCCCATTCTTAGGAATTTCATAAAGCTTTGTGTCATTGTATAATGAAATTATTTTCATATAACATTTTCTAGGACACTGAGTATTTGATCATTTATCTGATTCATCCTTTCTTATGTTTTTGTCACAGATTCATGGATAACCTCCAAACAGAAGTTCTAGAGATAGAATTCCTTTCCTACTCTAATGGAATGAATACTATCAGTGAAGAAGATTTTGCTCATATTCTTTTACGATATACAAATGTGGAAAATACATCAGTATTTTTGGAAAATGTGCGTTACAGTATACCTGAAGAAAAGGTATTTAATCCTTTATATTGTTTTATATTAAGAATAAATAATATATAGTTATAGTTACAGTTATCTTCTAGTTATATAATTAGTCTATAAAATACATGGTCCTTTTATCCTTTTTCTACACCGTAAATTAAAAGAAATTTTGTATATATTTCATTCTTTTCTTTCTGTGTCCTAAATACCCTGGCTAAATTTTTAAAAGTTAGTTAACTTTTAATTTAGGGTAGATAGCCATATTTCTCTTAGGTATGCTGCAAACCCTTGAAACTATTAGCAGCTTTTTATTCAAATTAAGAATATCATTTTTCAAGAGAATTCTGCTGAGCTATATGCTTTGACTACTACATAAACATCACCTCAAATAAGAGTCTCTGTTGACATCATTTCTGTCACACTCCATTCATGCCTGTCACACCCTTAATAAAAGGTCATTTGCAGACTGCCACTGATGAGTGAGTGATCTTATCAGCAGTGGAAGTGAGGCTTTTTAAAGTTTGGAAGGCATGAATGGTTAAGAACCTGGGACAACTGGCTGTCTATTTGTTCAGTAACAAATGTGTTGTCAGCACTTCTGAGCAGTTGCATTATCTAGTGGTATTTGAATGCATCATTGCAATCAAATAGAACTGGCCTTAGAAGTAGCCCTTCAAGCATGGGATGTTTTGGATACATTGCCTTCTGTTTGTGTTTATAGAGGGATTGGGTTAACCTAGCCAAGAAAAACTTGCAAATAGTTTGACTTTGTTTAGAATGGATATACTGTGACAATGTTAACAATTCTCCAGGTCCCTTAAGGAAAGAGGCAAAAAAAGGATTAGATTCATTTGGCCATCAGTTTACATTATCTCTTAATCAAGGGACTTTCATGTGTTTTATATGTTAAGTTGACTATTTCTAATTCATAGATACTTTCCTAAAATAAATTTTACTACTTTATCAAGCTACAATGGTGGTATTTATAGCCTTCACTCTAAGGAGGTTTTTTTTCTTTTTTAAAATGGAAACATCAAAATCTATAACTCAGAAGGTTAAAAGCTAAGGTAAAGAGAACTGTTTGTACTGTTTTTACAACTAATGTTATATCTAAAATTAATTCAAAATAAAGGGTATTTTAAAGTTAAATTCAGCTTTGGAAGACTTCTGAATGTGTAGGAGTACCTTAATATAAATCATTACAATAGAAATAGAAAAGTTTGTATCAGCATTATTGATTTTTTTTCTCTGCATTACCTTATCAGTCCTTCGAACAACCTTGAGTACTGACACCTTTCTTGTGGAAAAAGGGAAGCTGAGGCTTTTGGGTAGTTAGACACCCATCCAAGGATTAATCCCAAGCCTTTTGAAGCCAATGATATTTTTACCACACACTACTCTTCTTTCATTTCACTTCTTATCCCCATCTCTCCAATAGAATAACAATTACTACTATTTGAATAACACTTTATATTTTTAAAATGCTTTCATTTTCATCTGTTTACCTAGCAGGTAATTATTAAATATCTAGTACTTATCAGGTCTTATTCTATTCACTGTCTATAAAGTACTAAGACATGCAAAATCCTCTCATAGATGTGTATCTTAGGGAGGAGACAAAATAAACAAGCAAATAAAGCAAATAAATGATACACTTTGACACAGTAATAAATGTTATGAAGGAGATCAAGAAGCATGGGTGCTGGAAAAGGTGAAGGGGTAGCTTTTGAACAGAGCTCATGAGGAAGGAACTATGAGAAGATCAGGATGAAGGGCATCCCAGGCAGAGGCCACAGCAAATACCTGAGGCCTGGGGCTGGAAAAGGCTGAGATTACTTGAGAAAATGCAGCAAGGTGTTTATGGTAACTGAACAGGTGAGCAGCAGCAGATGAGAAAGGGGAGATTGGCATGGACCACCAAATAAATCTGTAGATAGTTTAAGGAGTTCAGATTTTATTCTAATGGTGACACTAAGTGTGAAGGAAACCATCATAGTGTCAAATTTTAAAGCAGTAGCCAACAAACTGCCCCTACCTTTTATTTTGTAAATAAAGTTTTATTGGAACACAGCTATACTCATTCATTCAATGTACTGTCTGAAGCTTCTGTTGTATCATCATTGTGAAGCTGAACTGTATCTCCAGCAAAAATGAAAATGTTCACTCTCTTGCTGTTTACAGAAAACATTTGCCAACCTTGCTTTACAGTACTGGCAAGATACTAAGTACTTCAACAAGTATTTATTCAATGAATATTAGCTATCTACTATGACATTCAGTGTGGTCTGATTCATATGCCAGAACAATATGATTCATGTTGCAAAATATCTTCTTCACTGCTACATAATAGAATAGACTTCAGTTGACCTAGCTTTGGGAGAAAGAGGCAGGATAAGATGCTGCTAAAGGACTCCAAGTAAGAGATAAGCATGGTTTGGCCTATGAGAAAAGTAGGGAGACATGACATCATATCATGGTTCATTTAGACCTTGTTTGTGGATTATGTTTTAGTATAGACAAAAAGGAGGAATCAAGAAGACCTCCTAGGTTTTTGGCCTGAACCACAAGATGAAACAGTGGTGTCATTTACTGAGCTAAACAAGGCTATGAATTTGGGAATAGAAGAGAATCAAGGGTTTTATTAGGGACAAGTTAAATTTGAAATTCCTACAAAATATCTAGTAAAGATATTAAGCAGGCAGATGGATATTATGTATATTAATGTATATCAGTCTCTAAGACAAGCAAGTGAAAAGAGCATAGCTGAGAGCAGTGTGTATAGTATACTACCACTTGTAGAAAAATGTAGCCTATGTTATCTCTGGAAGGACCCACAGAACTGGAAATACTGATTTCTCTAAGGAAAGAAGCTACATGAATAACAAAGATTTTGTGATGTGCAGTCTTTTGTGGCTTTTGAATTTTGAACATGCTAGTATATTGCCATATAAAATAAGTAATTAAAAAAATGTTGGGGTCTGTTATGTTGTAACAGGTTAAGCCTCTCCCTACAATGCCAGCATTCCATATGGGCACCAGTTCAAGTCTTGACTACTCCATTTCCAGTCCAGTTCCCGTTAATGCACCTGGGAAAGCAGCATCAATGACCCAAATACTTGGGCCTCTGCATCTACATGGGAGAGCCACATGATGCTCCTGGCCCAGCCTCGGCTTTTGTAGATGCAGGGGAATAAACCAACTGAGGGAATCATGCACACTCTCCTTCTTCTCTTTCTCCTTCTCCTCCTCCTCCTCCCCCAACTTCCCCTTCCCTACTTCTCCTCCTTCCCTTCCCCCTTCTCTCCCCTTTCTCTCCCCCTCCTCCCCCCTTCTCTAATTCTGCCATTCAAATAAATACATCTTTCAAAAAAAAAAAAAAAAAAGTTAAGGGACTGGCATTGTGGCCACCGCCTGCAACAACAGATCACATGTGGCAGGTTCGAGTCCAGACTGCTCCCTGCTAATGAGCCTGGAAAAGCAACAGAAGAAGATCATAGTGCTTAGCTCCCCGCCACTCAAGTGAAAGACCCATATGGGGTTCCATGCTCCATGCTTCAGCTTGGCGCAGTTCTGGCTGTTGCGGCCATTTAGGGAGTGAGCCAGTGGATAGAAGATCAGTGTCTTCCTGTCCCTATCTCTCTTTCTCTAACTCTGCCTTTCAAATAAATTTATAAATTTATTTAAAAAATTTCTTTAAATGCTGTGGGACTAAGTGAACTTATCTAGGAGAGACATAGATGAGAAAGGAAAGGATGATAGCTCCTCAAATAAGTATGTAATATAAATATTCACAAGACAGTAGTATAATTATCGTTATTAAGATTTGAAGAAACTGATACTCAGAAAAAGTTAAATGACTTACCTTAGGTCATTCAGTCAGAAAACTTTGGATTTCAGATTTTCTACTCTCTTTAAAATGTTAAATTTCTATCAACCTTCTGTTTTTCATTCATTTGTTTTATTTATTTGAAACGCAGGAACAGAGATCTTCCATGCATCACTTCACTCCCTAAATGCCTTCAATGGTCAAGGCTGAGCCAGGTCAAAGCTGAGAGCTAGAAACTTGATCCAGGTCTCTCATATAGGCGCATCACTTGCTCTTCCCGGGGTGTGCAGATGTCCCACACAGCATCTCACCAAAACAAACACCTGCCCTTCAACCTTTTAAAATTGTTGATATTTTTAAAATTTACATGGTTGCTATTTAGATCAGTTCCAATGTTTAAGTAGTTGGATAATTATGGGATAAGCATGAATTGTATGTTGAGAACAATTTATACATTTGATGCCATGATTATTTCTGAATGGTTATTTTCCTTAAGTAATATTGTGTTGTGATAATTTATTTGGATTTTCAAATTGATCCTTTCTTCTTTCTAATTTTTATTATTGAGGTAAAATTTACATGATATAAAATTCACCATTTTAAACCCAGCAATCAAGGGGCACTGTGTATATTCACAATATTATGAAGCCGCATTTTAAACATTTTCATTACACAAAATAAACCCTGTATAATTTAAGCAATTCTTCCCCCATTTCCTTCTCCATGTAACCTTCCTGGAAAAAAAAAATCTGCTTTCTTTCTCTGTGAATTTATCTATTCTGGATATTTCATATAAATAGTATCATACAGTATGAGGTCTTTTGGGTTTGGCTTCTTTCTAAATACTTCTTAGGTTCATCATATTATATCATGTATGAGTTCTTCAATCCTTGCTATGGCTTCATAATAATGCATTGGTTCAGGCATTTGTCCTAACAGTGAAGATGCTGGTTGATATAGCCACATTCTATACCAGTGCAGTTAAAAGATAAGTTTATTTTAGTGTAAAATGTTTTGAAATCTGCCAATATATTTTCATGATACCCATTTTCTATGAACTTTATGAGGACCCTTCATGTATTTAATTGTTTACCATTTTTCAGTTCTTTCATGTACTCATATATAAGTGTAATTTCTGGGTAATGTGTTATTTTTTGTGCTTTGTTTTGTTATTATAGCCATTCTAGTGGTTGTGAAGTGGTAC